GACTGACGGATCGGTTTTTTCTCCTTCCTTTTCGTTGTGTGCTATCGAATTTCGTACATATTTATTGTTGTGGTATTGTTGTTCGTTTTTATTATTTTCGGTGATTTAATTGTGTACATATAATTGTTGTTGTTTTTAAAAATGGTTGTTTTATTAAAAAAAAAAAAAGAAAAATATGTGAATTTAGGCCGAAAAATTAAACAAAAAATCCAAAATAAAATTAAATACAAAAATGCTGATCCATATTTTAATTGCTATTATTGGATATTGATTACACAGTGCAACACTTTTTAATGAAATATTTAATTTTTAAAGAGTCAAAAAAATAAGTAAAAGACGCAAAACAATCCAAATGATTATAAAATTAAAACAAAACTGAAAATAAAAACTGTTGAGCCTATTTTTGAAGGATTAGTAGAGATATAAAGCCTGCATTACAAAATCTAACCTATGTTTTCCCCATAGTTAAATTTACTGGGATTATCCATTATAAGGGTCAAACGGCTGCCTGATATAACATCTTGGATTTTTAAGGCTATTTTTTGAAGAATTATTTGATCATGAATTTTGGACTTTTAACAATATTTTCTTGGATTAGAGGTTATATGAACGTGGATATTTTAAATATATATTTTTTTTTTAAATTGATAAAGTAAAAGTGGTGATTATTATCGTAGATTTTTATACCCTCCACCATATATAGTATGGAGGGTATAGTAAGATCGTAATTCCTCATCAAAATAATAATTTAATAATAATAATTTGATGAGCGTAAAATTCTAAGACGACTTAGCCCTGTCCGTCCCTCCGTCTTTTGTAATCACGCTACAGTAAAAACGAATTAAGATAGAAAGCTAAAATTTTGCACAGATCAGTCTTTTGTCTACAGGCAGGTCAAGTTCGAAGATAGGCTATATCGGTCCACGATATTGTATAGCCCTCATATAGCGGTACCCCCCCGATATTTAGTATGTTGATCATTTTACCCACATTTTTCAATGGAATTGTCTGAAATTCCACACAAGGAGTTCCTAGTCAGTGCTTTGTCTTCTGGAAGATAATTATCTATACATCGCATCGGCTATATCGTATAGCCCCCATATAACGGTACCCCCCGATATTCGGCATTTTTAAGATTTTAACAGAATTTTTAATTAATTTTATTTTATTTTATTTTTTTTTTTGAAAATTTCCTAATTCAATCCAAATGGTGGAGGGTTTTCAATGTTTCGGTCCGGTCCGGCCTGTCCGTCTGTCTGTTGTAATCACGAACGAATTGAGATAGAAGGCTAAAATTTTGCATACATGCATAGTTAACCAGTAGGCAGGTTATGTTCGTAAATGACCATGTCGGTCCACGTTTCCGTATAGCCCCCATATAACGGTACCTCCCGATATTCGGTATTTTCATGATTTTAGCGACATTATTTGCGGAATTATTTAAAATTTCGTATTTAAAGTTCGTACTACAGCCTATGACAAAACATTTTATATGCAGGTCCAAGTCTTCGTATATATAGCCTCCATATAACAGTACCTCCCGATACTCGGTATTTGGACGATTTCAGCAACATTATACACCGGAAATTTGGTATTTGAAGTTCGTTTTGGGTACTACATCCTATGACAAAATTTTTTATATGCAGGTCCACGTCTTCGTATAGCCCCCATATAACGGTACCCCCCGATACTCGGTATTTTTACGATTTCAGCATCATTATACACCGGAATCGTTTCAAATTTCCTACTGGAAGTTCCTAATGGGTACTACAGCCTATGACAGAAATTTTTGTATGTATAGCCCACATATAACGATACCTCCCGATATTCGGTATTTTTAGGGTTTCAGCAACATTATTCACCGGAATTGTTTCAAATTTCCTACTGGAAGATCCTAATGCGTACTACAACCTAAGAAAAGTGTCTGTGCTGGTCCACGTCTTCGGTACCTCCCGATACTCCGTATTGTCATGATTTTTGAGATATTATTCACCGTAATTGTAACAAATTTCGTATTTGAAGTTCGTAATGGGCACTACAGCCTATGACAAAAAATTTCGTATACAGGTCCACGTCTTCGTTTACTCCCCATATAACGGATTTCATTTAATTAGTAGTTTTCGGATTTTTTTTGAAAAATTTCAATTTCCTTCGAAACTTGGGGGGTATTAAAAGTTCGTCCCGGCCGAATTTAGCTTATTTTTTACTTGTTAAGTTCTCTTTTTATACCCTCCACCTTTTAAAGGAGGGTATATTAACTTTGTCATTCCGTTTGTAACATCCTTAAATATTCGTCTTAGACCCCATAAAGTATATATATTCATAATCAGCATAAAATTCTAAGTCGATTTAACGATGTCCGTCTGTCTGTCCGTCTGTCTGTCTGTCTGTCCGTCTGTCTGTCTGTTGAAATCACGATACAGCCCACATTATTTGACGTAGAGCTCCAAAATTTAGCAGAGCTATTTGCATTGTGTCTAGGATGGTTGCTATTGACAATGAGATATATCGGTCCACGTTCTGGTATAGTCCCCATATAACGGTACCTCCCGATATTCAGTATTTTGATGATTTATGCCACGTTTTTTCACGGATTTGTCTTAAAATTGGTATTTGTAGGTCATAGCAGGTCTCTGAGCGTGTGGCAAAACATTGCATGTATGGGTCCAAAATTTGGTATAGCCCCCATATAACGGTACCTCCAGATATTCGGTAATTTGATTATTTTTGCAACATTTTTTCACGGATTTGTCTGAAAATCGGTATTTGTTGGTCATAATGGGTTCCAGCTCCGGTGGCGAAACATTGCATGTATGGGTCCATGATTTGGTATAGCCCTCATATAACGGTACCTCCCGATATTCGGTATTTTGATGGTTTTTGCCACATTTTTTCACTGATTTGCCTAAAAATTGGTATTTGTGGGTCATAATGGGTCCTAGTTCGTGTGGCGAAACATTGTAAATATAGGTCCACGTTTTGGTATAGCCCCCATATAACGGGACCTCCCGATATTCGGTAATTTGATGATTTTTGCCACATTTTTTTTCACGAATTTGTCAGAAATTTGGTATTTGTTGGTCATAATTGGTTCCAGCTTCGGTGGCGAAACATTGCATGCATGGGTCCATTATTTGATATAGCCCCCATATAAAGGTACCTCCCGATATTCGGTATTTTGATGGTTTTTGCCACATTTTTTCACTGATTTGTCTAAAAATTGGTATTTGTGGGCCATAATGGGTCCTAGTTCGTGTGGCGAAACATTGTAATTATAGGTCAACGTTTTGGTGTAGCCCCCATATTACGGTACCTCCCCATAATCGGCATTTTAATGGTTTTTGCCACATTTCTTCTAATGTTTATTTTACCCTAAGGTGGAGGGTATTAAAAGTTTGGCCTGGCCGAACTTAATGTTTTTTTACTTGTTTAATATTCTTCGATTTCTTGAAATACTTCTCAAGTTGAGCTATTTTTATACCCTCCACCATACATAGTATGGAGGTAATGGTACATCCCGATGTTCGGAATTTTGATGATTTTAGCGACATTATTTACCGGAATTGTTTCAAATTTGATATTTGAAGTTCGTAATAGATACTACAGCCTATGACAGAAAATTGTCTGCGCAGGTTCACGTCTTCGTATAGCACTGTACTGTATTCGGTACTTTGTTGATTTTAGCGACATTATTCACCGGAATTCTTTCAAATTTGGTATTAGATATTCGTAGTGGATGCTACAGCCTATGACAGAAAATTGTCTGTGCAGGTCCCCGTTTTGGTATAACCCTATATAATGGTACCTCCCTATATTCGATATTTTGATGATTTTAACTACATTATTCACCATTTTTTTTTTGTTTTCAAGTATCGCATTTGAATGATGTAATGGCTTATGACAAAAGGTCCATGTCCAAGGTTGCCTGTGCAGGTCCACGTAGTCGTATAGAACCTGATATAACGGCTACATTCGGTGTTTTTGAGATTTTAACAGAATTTTCAACGGATTTTATTTTTTTATTTATTTATTTATTTATTTTTTTTTTTTTGTAAATTGCCAAATTCTTTCCAAATAGTGGAGGGTTTTCAAAGTTCGGTCCAGCCGAACTTACATCTTTTTTACTTTTTTTTTTAAATTATTCTTTTGTGAAAATTTCATTGTCAAAAAATATATTTATTTATTCATTGTAAATAAAGAAATCATAGATGGAAACCAAGTTTTTTATGCTGTTGAAAATTGACATTATAAATTACAGAAAATGCTGAGATGGGTATACTCTTTTGAAAATACCTTTCCTTCTTAATTTTATCATGAAAACATATACAAATCTATTTATTTTTGGCAAAACATTAAAAATAAATTGACTAATCAATGTTCACAAGCGTTGATGCATCTTCTATGGTTCCTATCATGGCAGAAGAATACAGGTAGATGCATCAACGCTTGGAAGCATTGATATGTTAAAAAAAATTTAATGTTTTTTTTTTCAAATAGAAGTAGATTTTTATATGTTTTCTTATACTACGTCAGTCGGAGGCTATTATAATTCGCGTTTTTTAGCAATTTTTACAAATTTAAATAATTTTTCATTCAACATTTTCAATTCCAAAATTGGTTTGACAGTTTATTGTCCCAGCAGCTGTGTCGACGCGTCTACCTATATTCTTCTACCATGGTTCCTACTAAGAAAATTTTACGAGTAATAATTTGCAAACTCTCAGTAATTACCAAAATATCTCTCTTCACTCTCTCTCATTTAACGGACTCTTGTTCATCGTTCATCGAACAGTATTTTGTAATAATCTGTTTACATCATTGCAAATTACTTGGTTATCGTACACACCTATTGTGTATTTTTAAGTTTTTTTTTTCAATATTATCAGAGTTTGTTGTGAAAACTTTGCAAATACTTTCAATTGTTTTTTCTTATTTTGCAAATATATCCGCATTAATGCAATCAATATTTACACATTTTTTTATTTAATTTATCTCTGCAGTTGGAATCATCATCCGCCGATGGTCTACGCATTTTGAATATAAATAATGTTACCTTGGCCCACAGTGGTGAAGTTCAACTGGTCGTAACACATCCCGGCAAGCCGTATTCGAGTGAAAAAGCTTATACCACTTTAGCGGTGATACCCAACAGCAACAACAATAAAACACCCGCAACAACAACAACACCACCAACGAAAATACATATAAATAACAACGACACCATTGTTGATGCAAGGGAACAACAATTGTTTGATCTTGAACCCATCGATGATCAGCAACATCTTGAAGAGACTACAACGACGGATGCCGCTAAAGATCATCAACGTCAACTCCAACAGCCAGCTTGTATTTTAGAAGGTCCACAAGACTGTACGGCACTAATTGGTGGTTGTGTTCGTCTGTCTGTCATCTATGAAGGATTGCCTAAACCGCAAATTGTTTGGTATAAGGCGGTAAGTAGCTCACCCCGCCCACCCTTAACACCTCCTACTGCACAAAGTAAAATATTTTTTTTTACAATTTCTATTTTTGCATTACTGCTTTCCATTTTTTTTTATTTATTGTGAGGTAATAAGTTTGCAATTGTCTGTCTCCTTTGCTGTCTATCTACAGATCTATGTATGGTTAGGAGGAACATTTAATTTTATTGCTATTGCCATTTTTCCGCCACCTAATGACGTCAAAGAAAAGTGTAGAAGAAAAAAAAACACAACTCATTAATATGTATCTTTATTTTCTAATTAGCCACATGCCCAAGATACTGAACGGAGCGTAGTTGTTTCAACCATTTTTGGTTTTCCTTTTTTGCTTTATCGGTAGGGAACGGAACAAAAACAACAACAAACGGATAAGCAAAACATCTTGATCTCCATTCTTTGCCATTGTTATAGATTATATCTATAATAAAACAGAGTAGGGCAGGCCTACACTGCAACGCTGATGCTGGGAGATAATCTATGGCATCAGCTGTCTGCCTAACTTTTGAGTTTTTTTTTTTTTTTTTGTCTAACTAGATAATGGGTGTTATTGACAATAAAGGCACACATTCCTTTGAAGTACTGTGTCATAAATATGCCATTTTGTTTCAATTTCATTTTCTTTGTTTTGCGAAACACTTGAGGGTTTTTAAATTGTTTGAAATAATACCTCACGATTCGTGATGAAGGTTAACTTAAAATAGCAATTATTCAAATCTTAAAATGAAAAATAATTTTTAAACACAAAAATTTCCGACCTACGCATTGATATTTTTTTGTACGTTCTTCATATTGGGAGACTACACCAGCTATAGAAGTCCGGCTCAAGAACTTTTATCTTTAGAAGGAGTTCTAAGTATGGAGTCCTTCTAGATGTTATATACAGGGTGAGATAAAAACAAGTAAAATAACATTAAATTCGGCCGAACTTTTAATAATCTCCACCTTAGGGTAAAAAAAACATTAGAACCCATTGTGACCCACAAATACCCATTTTTAGACATATTGGTGGGAAAATGTGGCAAAAATAATCAAAATATCGAATATCGGGAGGTACCGCTACATGGGACTATACAAAAACGTGAACCTGTACATACAATATTTCGCCAACGGAGCTAGAACCCATTAGGACACGCAAATACCAATTTTTAGACAAATCCGCGGAGAAATGTAGAAAAATCACCAAAATACCGAATATCTGGAGCTACACAAAAACGTGGACCTATACATACAATGTTTCGCCACCGCAGCCAGAACCCATTTTTAGACAAATCCGTGAAAAATGTGACAAAAACCATCAAAAAACCAAAAATCGTGAGGTACCGTTCTAAGGGGGCTATACCAAAGCGTGGATCCATACATACAATACTTCGCCACACGAACTAGGACCCTTTATGACCTACAAATACCAATTTTCAGACAAATCCTTGAAAAAATGTGGAAAAAATCATCGAAATACCGAATATCGGGAGGTTCCCTTATATGGAGACTATACCATAACGTGGACCGATATATCTCATTTTCAATACCAACCATCCTAAACACAATAAAAATTGTTCTGCTAAGTTTTGACGCTCTACGTCAAATAATGTGGGCTGTATCGTGATTTCAACAGACCGACGGATAGACGGACATCGTTAAATCGACTTAGAATTTTATGCTGATTATGAATATATGTACTTTATGGGGAATACGACGAATATTTAGGGATGTTAAAAAAGGAAAGACAAATTAATGTAACCTCCTTTCAAAGGTGGAGGGTATAAAAAACTGCAACAAAGTCAAAGGCCATAATTTTTACTTTTTTTTAATTTTATTCAATGAAAGCAAAAAATATCGGAAATAGTATCAAATTTTAGAAAATGTTTAGATTCTCGGCGAGGTGCTTGCTTGAGGTGATCGACACTTCAATATTTTTGAGTACCAACCTTGCTTTCCAAAATACTCCAGACACTCCGGAGATTTTGGTGGCCATTGTGCGCTGGAACTGAAGCGAGGAACCTCATTTTGTAACCATTCTTGGGTGGCGCGCGCTGAGTCCTGTTGGAATGTCCAAGGTCTGCGGCAAAATTTTTACGTGCCCAAGGCTTTAATACACCCTCCAGAATATTTACGCAATAATATTCGGCATTTATTCTGATGCCACACTCGATTAATACGAGCAGAGAGCGACCATCGGCTGGACAACGAATGCTTTCTCATCGCAGAAGGAGAAAACCAAATTCAGCTGTTCGTCACTTTTAGCCAAGCGAAGCAACTTATTAGTTCTTTTGAGTCTATTTTCTTTCTGTTGCGGTGTAAGTTCTTGCACTTTATGGAATTTTAATGACTTTACCCCGAACTCATTTTTCAATATTTGCCGAATGGAATATTGCGATATGTTCAGCTCACGAGCCATTTTATCGGCCACTGGGACGCGGGTTTCGATCAAGTCGTTTTTTTTACTTTTCGAACCATTTCTGCTGATGTTGCTTTTTTCTTTCCAGAAAATTCTCACCAAACTGCATTTGAACGCATGTAAACAATATAATGAGCTGTCACTGGAATAATTTTAACAGCTGTCGGACGAGTTGCTTAGAATTGACAGCATTCAGAAGTTTGTTGCAGTTTTTTCATATCACCCTGAAAAATGGAAATTTTGACATACACCCGGAAATACATATGTATAATAAAAGTGACAGCACACACGTAAAACCCATATATTCTGATAGGAACTTCAATAAGCTTTTACTTGTCCCTTCTGAACAGCATTTAACCTAAAAGCATTTTAGGTTATGTACCTTTCCCTTCCGCTCTTTCCCCAGCATATCTAAGTGTTTTCCAACCGATCAATACCCCAAGAAACTACATGTAAACCCAAGTCCTATTTCATTGAAACCTTATCAATATTCAAAATGTGCATGTGGAATGTTTTGGGCACGGTTTTGTTTGGCACAAAGATGCAACTGCTGACAATTGCATGTTAATTTATAACGGTAGTCGGTATTTATCGGAAATGTACTTTGATCCCGATAATAAATTAGTTCGATTAATTTCATTTTAATTAATAAACAGTAGAAAGGCGGTAAATGGTTGTTAGAAGTCAATAGATTATTATTGTTCTGTTCCAGAACCGGCAAGACTTTACGGGTTTTGCATTTTTTTTCGATATCATAAAGGAAAAATCGGTTATCGTAATATTTTTTTTTTACATTATTACACGTTGTGGAACATTCTGGAACACGTTCAGAGCAAGGCAAGTGTCAACTTGGAGCTGTTGAATATTACGCCTCTATCATTATCGATTTCAATTAAAGTAGAATAAATGGTCTGTTCCTGAACTGCAAGAATGTAAATATTTTTACTACGATAATCAATTTTCCCTTTAGAATATCGAAACATTTGCAAAACTAATAAATTCTAGCAGGTTGTGGAACAGAGCAAACATTTTTTATTGACATGTCACAATTAATATGTCCTCTATTAACCTATCATTTGCCAAAACGTGCCTCATAGAAATAATGGTCTTAGACCCTAGGTCTCTTTGAACTAAATCCGTTTTATGACATTTGGAGTCGATCTAGCCGTGTCCGTCCGTCTGTCGGCAAACTGGTTCGCACGATAACTCTCGAAGGGAGTATCCGATTTGATCCAAATATGGAACATCATAATATTATTGTCAAACTTAGATCGAGTTTGGAGATGGGCAACATCCCATACAAAAGGTCGATATCTTCAAAGAAAATAATATACTGCACAGAAAAAGAAAGGATTATCCGATTTTGCTCCAACTTTACGAATCCTAATATTTGCATAAGTGCTAGGTCAGGAGCGAAAATGGAAAATATCGGTCCACTCTATCAAGTACCTCCCGCACAAAGGGTCAAAATTTTGAATAATTATTACTCTTATAAAATGTGATGTAAGTGTCCGAATTATATACATTACAATATTTTTATTAACTCAATGTCTGGCGTGAAGATAGAATATATCGGTCCAATCCTTCTGGTACCTCCTCCACAAAGGGTCAACTATTTTAATATTCATGAAGCTCATAAAACACGAAATTAACATCCGATTCTATTCATACTTGGCTCATCTGAACATTTTTATCAACACAAGATCTTTTAAAGATGTAAAGAGATCGGACCATCCCTTCTGGTACTTCCGCCACGAAGTTTTGAATAGCCAAAACGATTATAATATCCGAAAAACGCATCCGGTTCTCTTTATATTACATACATCACAATATTTTTATTAACCCAAGGTCTGGTGTGAAAATGGTATATATCGGTCCACTCCTTCTGGTACCTCCCCCACAGAGTGTCAAAATTTTGAGTATCCATGAAGCTCATAAAACACGAAAATAACATCCGATACCTTTCAGACTTGTTACATCTCAATATTTCCATCAACACCAGATGTGTCATAAAGAGGGCACATATCGGACCATTTCTTCTGGTACCTCCCCCACATAGGGTTCAAGATTTTTGAAAAACAAAACGCTCAAAGAAAGCGAAATAAGTATCCAATTCTCTTAAAATTTCACACATCTAAATATTTTTGCTAATACAATATCTGTTGCCAAGATGATCTGCCAACCCCTTCTGGAAGCTCACCCAGCTCATCTGTCATAACTTGCGAAACAAGTCGACGATTCTTTACAACTTGCTATATCTAAATATTTCTCTTAACCAGAAATCTGATATGAATATGTACCTTATCGAAATTTATGATATCGCATAAGATTGGATATGAATGTTCGATATCCTTCAAATTTTGCCCATACCAATATTTTAATCTGTATTAGTTGAAGCTTGAAAGTCGATCTAGCCCTGTCCGTCCGTCCGCCCGTCTGTTGTAATCACGCTACAGTCAAAACGAATAAACTTTTGCACAGATCTGTCTTTTGTCTGCAGGCAGGTCAAGTTCGTGGGCTATATCGGTTCACGATATCGTATAGCCCCCATATAATGGTACCCCCTCCCCCAATTTTCGGTATTTTGGCGATTTTAACTACATTTTATGACGGAATTGTCTGAAATTCTACACAGGGTGTTGTTTGTGAGTATTTTACCCCCAGACATAGATTAGTCTATATAGGTCCACCATTTCGTATATCCCCCCCATGTATCTACACCTTCCGATATTCGGTATTTTTAGGATTTTAACAGAATTTTTAATGGATTTTATTTATTTTTTTTTTTAAATTTTCTAATTCGTTCAAAATGGTGGAGGGTATTTAAAGTTCGGCCCGGCCGAACTTACTGCTTTTTTACTTGTTCAAATCTCTTTTTCTTTATTTTAAATCTCTCTCTCTTTAATATCTTAAGCATATGAAGTCCATCTTCCTACTACATACACTTCAAACTTCATTCTCAAGTTGAAGGACCAACTGTTTTGGTTTTAGCAAAGACTGCAACCAATGCATCCATCCGGCGAACAAGTGCATCATGAAAATAAGTCAAATTATTTAAAATTTGCAAAACACCCCCATCCCGCAAAGGGAAGGTGGAAAACCTACTCAAAGCTTCATTTCTTTTTTTGTTGGTAGTAATTAAAATTTCTCTCTCTCTCCCTCTCTCTTAATATGTCAAATTGGTATGCACACACAACTCATTTTGCTATTAAAACATTCATTTCCGCATCGAAGGACCAATATTATCTTTTAATAATTGAAAATGCCCCGTAAGATCCATTTATGTATATTCCTCTTATGTGGAGCCAGCCCAGTATTATTTTAACCTTTATCTCCACCTCGAAGGACCAATAATTTCAATTTAAGCAAAGATTCCCACCATTGTAAAACAAATGGGGAGTGGTTGCCACATGACAGCAGAAATGGCCGCCATCACAACAAAACCTAAATCAATCCAAATATTCCGAGATTATACATTTCGTGATATAATTCCGAATGGCACACCTCCAAGGGATTATGGATTTTCCTAAAAGAAATAGCCGATCAATTTAAATGCATTTTCAAAATATAGGTCTGTGAAACCGTTCAGAAAGCAATTAATATTCAGCAAATCGCCTGGACTAGAATGCATGCTAGCCAAGCGTTTTAGCGTTAAATTGTGTCTCTTGTTGTTGTTGTTGTTGTTGTTTTTGCAATCTGTCAACAATAAACAGCAAGCAATTATAGTAAACGTTTTTTTTTTTTTTTTTGGTGTCCTATAATGTATGCGTACAGCTAGATGATTGTTCAAACAAACGGAGAGACAGACACACCACGTAGCCATAGGCCTCACTAAGACTGTCGGAGTGTCTCCACCTCGCACCCTCTCACACATCTTTCGGATAACACATATATTTCATTATTATTCACATAGTCAGAGTAACCATTGGATCTGAACATCGTGTCACGATCAGAGGTTGCGGTAAGGCAACGTAATAGCATTTGACGATGTTGTTGCTGTTGTTGTTGGTGCTAACCGCAAAACAATAACGACATACATTTTTTACAGAAACAAAAAAAAAAAAACAAACACAATGTATTTTTTATTATGGCAAACTAATAATAACAGAAAATAGAAAACACAAAATCTGCTAAACCATAACTTATAAATTATTAACCTAATTTATCTATTTTGGTTGTGTTTTTTGCATTTATTTTAGAGTCGCCGCATTGTGGAAACATCAAATACAATTATCAATACATCTTCCCGCAAGTCGGTATTACAGATCTCCGACATCGATACCGATGACAGTGGCAAATATTCGGTAGAAGTAATGAATGAATTTGGCGCCGACATAGCATCGGCCTCCGTGGCCGTTGAGGGACCACCAGAGCCACCAAGTGGCAAACCAAGCATTTCACAAGGACCCGATCGTGTGGCCATAGCATGGTGTGGTCCGCCATATGATGGTGGCTGTATGATAACAGGATTTATGTGAGTATGAAATGAAAAAAAGAATCAAAAATGTTGCAGACATACATAGGGTGAGATGAAAAAGCTGTAGCGAAATTCAGACTGCTGTCATTTCTAAGCCACACGTCCGACAGCAGTTAAAATTATTTCAGTGATAGCTCATTATATTGTTTACAAGCATACAAAAGCATTTTGGTGAGAATTTTCCAGAACAAAAGTTATTCGTGACGGAATTCAAGCGTGATAGTGTGATTTCTTAAAATTTGGCTGGAAAACCCCAAGTGGCTATCGTTAGAGCAGTCCAGCGTTTAAATGTGAATACACATTTTGTGTCTCGTACCATCGCTCGTTACCGTGATACTGGTAGCGTAGCCCGACGTCAAGGAAGTGGATGGAAGAAAACAGCAATATCAGCAGAAATGGTTCGAAAAGTAAAGAAGCCACTTGATCGAAACCCCGCGTCGCAGTGGCCGTCAAATGGCTCATGAGCTGAACATATCGCAATATTCCATTCGGCAAATATTGAAAAATGAGTTCGGGGTAAAGCCATTGAAATTCCAAAAAAGTGCAAGAACTTACACCGCAACAGGAAGAAAATAGGCTCAAAAGAGCTAAAGAGTTACTTCGCTAGGCCGAAAGTGGTGAACTGCCGAATTTGGTTTTCTCCGATGAGAAAACATTCGTTGTCCAGCAGTTTGTAAACAATCAAAACGATCGTGTTTACTTGTCAAAGAGGTCAGCTGAAAATGTGCACCTTCGGTTGGCCACCAGAACTCAAGCGCCAGCCATGATGATGGTGTGTGGTGATGACCGCCATAACAGCCGATAATTGCTCTCCGCTCGTATTAATCGACCATGGCATCAGAATAAATGCCGAATATTATCGCGAAAATATTCTGAAGGGTGTATTAAAGCCTTGGGCACGCAAACATTTTGGCCGCAAACCTTGGACATTCCAACAGGACTTAGCATCATCGCAGTCAACGCGCGCCACCCAAGAAAGGTTACAAAATGAGGTTCCTCGCTTAATTTCCAGCGCACAATGGCCACCAAATCTCTCCGGATACCAATACGTTGGACTATTGTGTCTGGATTGTTTTGGAAAGCAAGGTTGACGCTAAAAAATACCAAAGTGTTGATCACCTCAAGCAAGCGCTTCGACGGGAATGGTCCAAAATACTGCAGAGCAACATTCGGGCAGCGTGTGATGGTTTCATTGGCCGTTTGAAGGCCATATGGACGTGCCAAAGGTGACCAATTCGAACAAATCTAAACTTATTCTTAAATTTGATGCTATTTCCGACATTTTTTGCTTTCATTCAATAAAATTAAAAAAAAAATGTAAAATTTATGGGGTCTAATTTTTTTTTATCTCACCCTGTATTAAGTGGCGCCCAATGGTTTTTAATTTTTGTTTTTATTCCTCACACTCTTAAATGTATTTGGTAAGAAATATTAAATCATTTTTCTTTTGTATAGCATTGAACGCCAACAATTGGACCCCAATGCCTCCCCCCTAGAAGAACAACAAAACGAATCCGAGTGGTTGGAAATAGCCAGTGTTGTGGATTCTTTGGCCTACACCGTAAAGAATTTAAAACCTCTATTTACATATAGATTTCGGGTAAGGGCTGAAAACATACATGGACGCAGTGAGCCAGGCTTGCCCAGCGATCCAGTACACATTGCGGAAGAGACAGATGAAGACTCCACAGAAGGTAACCACAAACATTTATTTAAATAAACATTTTACTAATTTTGGCTTTTTCGTTTTCCTCCAGACTTCCAAAGGCCAATATCCATTAAATCTGGCGGTGATTTTAAGGATCGTTTCCAAATTCTCGAAGAATTGGGAAAGGGTCGTTTCGGTGTCGTCTACAAGGTCCAAGAAAAAGAAGATTCCAAACGTATTTTGGCTGCTAAAATGATTAAATGCATCAAATCGAAAGATCGCATTAAGGTCCAGGAAGAGATATCCATTATGAAATCATTGAAACATCCCAAATTGCTGCAATTGGCTGCCTCGTTTGAAAGTCCGCGGGAAATTGTAATGGTCATGGAATAGTAAGTATTTATGAAATGTTAGCTAAAGGATCCGTCGTCGATAAAACATGGCAGCGTTAAAGGTGAGAATACGTAAAACGTTTTTTACTAGCTTAAGTCATTGACTGACTTCTTAGTTCGATTTTGGCCCTTGGCCAACCAATGACTTAAGCCAGCCAAAAAAACGTTTTATGTATTCTCACCATAAGTAATCGGCTGGCTTCTTTGTAAAAGACCAATTTCGGCCCATAATTTATACTTCCAAGCCCTTCGCTCCTTGGTTCTTGTACAAAGAAGCCAGCCGAAGACTTAAGTCAGTCAAAAACGCGTTTTATGTATTCTCACCTTAAGTCTGTGGTTGGTGTTTTTACGACGAAGTGTGGTGAAGCAACGAGTTCTTTTTAATTTGTCCTTTGACTAATTGTCGGTTTTTAAATCAACCAAAAACTTTCTTGGATTAAAGGTCGTCGTCGGTAACTCAGGTCGATAAAGGCCTTTCTCTCTGATTGTTGTGTTTACGCCATCGGTAACACAGAGGGACTCTTATTGACCCTAAGATTCTTTGTTCTATAGTTGACGCGTGACATATAAAAACACGTGGCGCATTCATTCTGATTTAGCCTTAGGTTTGATGAGAATAAAATAAATTTGTTTTACGTACGTTGAATTTCCGACTAACCGTATATTTCTCGGAGCCAGAATGGACTCGTTTTGCGTTATTTAAGTCTACACGTCCTTTTTGCTTTGTCTCAAACCTCAAACAGAATGAACGCGCTACGCGTTATCAACAAGAACCACATAATGGCGTCTTTATGAACTTTACCGTTTGCTGTTGATCTATCGATGACACACGCCATGTAAAAATGCATAGCGCGTTCATTCTTTTAAGGTCTTAAGACTGCCGGAAATACAGGGTGAGATAAAAAAAACTGTCAAACGCCATAATTTTTGCATTTTTTTTAATTTTATTGAATGAAAGCAAAAATATCGGAAATAGCATCAAATTTTAGAATAAGTTAAGAATTTTTCGAATTGATCAACTTTGGTACGAATTATGGCCTTCAAAGGGCCAATGAAGCCGTCACACGCTGCTCAAATGTTGCTCTGCGGTATTTTGGCCCAATCCCGGCGAAGCGTTTACTTGAGGTGATCGACAATTTGATATTTTTAGTGCCAACCTTGCCTTCCAAAATACTCCAGACACATTGGTCCAACGGATTGGTATCCGGAGATTTTGGTGGCCATTGTGCGCTGGAAATGAAGTGAGGAACCTAATTTTGTAATCATTCTTGGGTGGCGCGTGCTGAGTGCAATGGTGCTTAGTCCTCTTGAAATGTCCAAGGTCTGCGGCCAAAATATTTGCGTGTCCAAGGCTTTGATACACCCTCCCGAATATTTTCGCGATAACATTCGGCATTTATTCTGATACCACGGTCGATTAATACAAGCGGAGAGCGACCATCGGGTGTTATGGCGGCCCTACACTATCATAATGGCCGGCTTGAGTTCTGATGGCCATGGTGCGCATTTTCAGCTGACCTCTTTGGCAAGTAAACACGATCATTTTGTTAATTTACAAACTGCTGGACCACGAATGTTTTCTCATCGGAGAAAATCAAATTCGGTAGTTCACCACTTTCGGCCAAGCGAAGCAACTCTTTAGCTCTTTTGAGTCTATTTTCTTTCTGTTGTGGTGTAAGTTCTTGCACTTTTTGGAATTTCAATGGCTTTACCCCGAGCTCATTTTTCAATATTTGCCGAAAAGAATATTGCGATATGTTCAGCTCACGAGCCATTTTTCTGCCACTGCGAGCGACACGGGTTTCGATCAAGTCGCTTCTTTACTTTTCGAACCATTTTTGCTGATGTTGCTGTTTTCTTCCGTCCACTTCCTTGACGTCGGGCTATGCTACAAGTATCACCGTAACGAGCGATGGCACGAGGCAAAAAAGATGTAATCACATTTAAATGCTGAAGTGTTCTAACGATAGCCACTTGTGGTTGTCCAGCCAAATATAAAGAAATCTCACTATCACGCTTAAAATCCATCACAAATAACTTCTTTCTGGAAAATTCTCACCAAAATTCTTTTGTACGCTTGTAAACAAAATAATGAGCTGTCACTGGAATAATTTTAACAGCTGTTGGACTAGTGGCTTAGAAATGACAGCAGTCTGAAGTTGGTCGCAGTTTTTTAATCTCATCCTGTATTTAATTATTTTGTTAAATTCCTTTCTTGAATGATTTAAACAAAGACTTGACGGCCTTGTTTCTTGTCCCAAAGAAAACTGCTCTGACGAACTTTCTACCCAGAATATAGAAAAAAAATAGTCGTAAGAATATCCACTTTTTATAACAAACGTTGGGCGCCAGCGGCGTTTTGTTTTCGCACCAAATTCGTGGTTTTGCCAGATTAACTTTAAAAAAATTATTCAAAATTTTTTCCAGAATCGAATTTGAATCTTTATTCTTAAATTCCTTATACGATATTCGTCTGTCATAGAGTTCCGCTGTTGGTCAGGGACTTAAAGATCCTGTTTCTAGTTCTAATTTAACGCTCATTATCACAATTTAATACATTTTGAGGTTTGAACACATTCGGGTAATCGTTGGGCGCCAATGACCCAGGCTGTCAGCATATAAGAATGCGTTGGCCGCAAACTACTAGATAACCTTGACCCAGTTGAATTTTAAGCTAGTGTTCACTATTTGAAACCCATTTTCCCTTGCAAGGATATAGAAAAACCTTGGGCGCCAACTACAGGATAACCTTGATTAAGTTATATTTTAAGTTAGTACCTGTTTTTTTGGAACTCATTGATCGTTGCCAAGGTATAAACAAGTTGGACGCCAATTATTGGATGATCTTCTTCTAACTTATGTTTTTATTCCTCCACCATACTATAGAGGGTATATTAACTTTGTCATTCCGTTTGTAACTCTCGAAATACTCATGTAAGACCCAACAAAGTATATATATTCTTGATCAGCGTAAAATTCTATGTCGATTTAGCGATGTCCGTCTGTCTGTCTGTCTGCCCGTATGTCTGTCTGTTTTAATCACACTATCTTTCGAACAAATCGAGGTAGAAGGCTAAAATTTTGCAGAAATGTTCAGGTTAGGTTAATAAATGAGCCCCCCCCCCCCCCTTTACAATAACTCCCGATATTCGGTATTTTGATGATTTTAGCGACATATTCACCAGAATTATTTTATTATTTGTATTTGATGGTATTTGAAGTTTGTAATAGATACTACAGCCTACAGTTGTCTATGCAGGTCCAGGTCCTCATATAGGCCCCAGATATCAGTACCTCTCTATATTCGATATTTTGACGATTTTAGATAGGACGATTTGAAGTTGGTAATGTGACAGAAAATTGTCTATGGAGGTCCAGGTCTTCGTATAGCTCCGATATAACGGTACCTCCCTATATGTCATATATATTTTGATGATTTTAGCTACATTATTCACCGTTTATTTCAAGTTTCGAATTTGACCCCAAAATAACGGCTATATTCGGTATTTGTAAGATTTTAAAAGAATTTTTAACAGATTTTATTTTTTGAAAATTGGGTGGAGGGTATTCAAAGGTTGGCCCGCCCGAACTTACTGCTTTTTAACTTGTTAAGTACTGATTGTTTGGAATTTGTTGATCCTTGTTGGGATATAAAAAAACGTTGGGCGCCAACTACTGGATGACCTCGTTCTAAATTTTATTTTAAAGTCATTACTAATGATCATTACCTTGATGCAGGTCAAAACTAATTGAGGCCCTTTCGTATGATGTAAAATAGTTGCCCTCCCGAATCGAAAATCTTCATTCGGAGATGTTCGAACCTTATTTCCAATCCTAATCATCTCTTTCTCTCGTTTTTTTTTTCAGCATTACTGGCGGCGAATTATTCGAACGGGTGGTTGCCGATGATTTTACCCTAACCGAACGTGATTGCATTCTGTTTGTGCGCCAGGTGTGTGAGGGTGTTGCCTACATGCACAGCCAATCCATTGTGCATTTAGATTTGAAACCGGAAAATATCATGTGTAAGACCCGAACATGTCATCAAATCAAAATCATTGATTTCGGTTTGGCCCAACGTCTGAATACTGGATCTCCGGTGAGGGTTCTTTTCGGTACACCTGAGTTTATATCTCCCGAAATTATTAGCTATGAACCGATTGGTTTTCAATCCGACATGTGGAGTGTGGGTGTGATATGTTATGTGCTGTATGTTTGATTTAGAAATATTTTCGGAATATATTTTTTAATGAGCTTCCCTTGATTTCAGTTTATCCGGTTTATCGCCCTTTATGGGTGACACCGATGTGGAAACCTTTTCCAACATCACCCGGGCCGAATACGATTTCGATGATGAGGCCTTTGATTGTGTCTCCCAACTGGCCAAGGATTTCATTTCGAATTTGTTGATCCATCGCAAAGAAGATCGCTGGACAGCGGAACAATGCCTAGAATCGCCCTGGCTGAAACAGGGTCATTACGATGAAAATCTGGGCAACAAGAAAATCTGCACAGACAAACTTAAGAAGTTCATAATACGCCGCAAATGGCAAGTAAGTATCGACACGTTTTCGAATAACACCTAACACCGGCATGAATCAGTTGTTGAATACCCAGCTTTTGTGGGTTAGTCATTTAACATTTGTTTTGCTATCTGTTTTATTGTTTTTGTTTGCTTATGTTTTTGGTTTGTTTGCTTTTTTTTTTTTTTTTTTTTGGTTGACTAATTTTTTTTGTTCGAAATGGCTTAGAAAACTGGCAATGCTATCAGAGCTTTAGGTCGCATGGCTACCTTATCGGCTTCTAGACGCAATTCAGCTGTGTCAACCACAACCAGCAGTGCAGCTGGTGGTGGTGCTGGTGGTAGTATACCCAACAGTCCACGACCTTCCATTTCGGGTATGTCGTCCTCCATGTTCAATGCCAATGCCCCGGCAGTGCCCATGGGTTCTCTGCATGAAGAAGATGATGATTTCAGCATTGAATTGCCCGCAGTTGTCCATCAGGATATACCGCGACGCAGTCCAAAAGTAGTGACGAAATCTCAGTGCAGTGAGCGCAGCGATTCGGGCTACAGTGAATGTTCGAATTGTAGTGCCTCAGGTTCGTTGCAGTGTCAATGTGCCAACAAGGACAGTGTTGATCATGCCACAGCCAGTGATTTATTACAAGATCTCTCCATATCAGTACCCCATGATTTGTTGAAACTGAAACTTGAAGAAATAGCCCATCAGGCCGACCACAATATTGAGGAGGTAAAACTGGAGCTGGTGGTACCGACCACGGAAAAACTACCCCAGCTGGATGCCAATCAAAATGAATTGAAATCCCTGGAAATGCCCGACAAAGAACCCCCACACACCATAACCGTCATTGAAGATGTTGAAGTACTTAACTCCTCTCCTGGGGGACCCATTATAATGCGTTCCGATTTCACCAATACCATACAAATGCGTAAGAAATCCCTAGAGAATAGTTTACTTAAGGAGAAGCCCAAACCCACCAGTAAATCACCGCTCTACGAGAAATCCGGTAAGGTCAATATGTTGAGGAACAAATTCTCTTGCATGGAACAACAAGTGAGTAGTGGCCAGCAAAGTGCAGCTGTTAAGAGTAAGGATTGCATGGATGTTTTAAAGCTTAAACGCAAAGTTATAAACGAGGCTTGTCTTAAACAAAGTAATTGTTCATTAAAAAACATAAATCAAATAATTGAAATTAATTTTAATTTGTATTCTCCACAGCAATCTCAGCCAGCCATCCAACATCCTCAGCCTCCTCAACACACTCAACTTCATTGCCCAGCTCACCGATACCACAACGCAAGACGTACCCGTTTACTACGTTCCGGCTAAGCGAACGTGTACGCGAGGTAACCGACCGCTTGGCCCAACAACAAACTGTCTGCACCGAGGCTAGACGAACACAAATCTTAAATCGAAATAAATAATCAAAAGAAAAAAAAAAGAAGTTAAAAATAATAACACCCTGAAAGTATCGATATAATAATGTATTTCTTTTTCTACCAGTTTTTAATCATTTTTATTTTGTTGTGTTTTAATTTTTAATCATTTTTTTTATATAAATATAAAACCATACATTTGTAGTTTAAAATTAAGAAGAAGAAGAAAAAAGAAAAAACAAACATTACAAAAATTAATTTAATAAGTATTTTTGTTGCAAATTGGCTTTGTTCGTTATAATTTTAGTTGTATGTTTCTTTTTTTTAATTTTATTTTAATATTTTATTATTATTAAATTTAAAAAATTATGTCTTGTTACACACGCCCCCAAAACTTTATCCCCCCCATCCATGCCCATTAAAAATGTGAATGAAAAACAATAAAAACTCGAATATAATTTAAAAAACAAAACTTATATACTAAATCAAGACGTTGTAGTTGTTTTATTTTTACACCCTCCACCATAGTATAGAGAGTACATTAAGTTTGTCATTCCGTTTGTAACACCTCAAAATATACAGGGAGAGAAAAAAACTGCAACAAAGTCAAACGCTACAATTTTTACGTTTTTTTTTTAATGTTATTGAATGAAAGCAAAAAATGTCGAAAATAGCATCAAATTTTAGATTTGTTCGAATTGGTCACATTTGGCAGGAATTATGGCCTTCAAACGGTAAATGAAACCGTCACACGCTGCCCGAATGTTGCTCTGCGATATTTTGGCCCATTTCCGGCGAAGTGCTTGCTTGACGTGATCGACACTTTGGTATTTTTTAGTGCCAGCCTTGCTTTCCAAAATACTCCAGAAACAATGGTCCAACGGATTGGTATCCGGAGATTTTGGTGGCCATTGTGCACTAGAAATGAAGCGAGGAACCTCATTTTGTAACCATTCTTGGGTGGAGTGTGCTGAGTCCTGCTGGAATGTCCATCGTCAAAATTTTTGCGTGACCAAGGCTTTAATAAACCCCTCAGAATATTTTCGCCATAATATTCGGCATTTATTCTGATGCCATGACCGATTAATACGAGCGGAGAGCGACCATCGGCTGTTATGGCAGTCATCACCACACACCATCATCATGGCCGGCGCTTGAGTTCTGGTGGTCAACCGAAGGTGCACATTTTCAGCTGACCTCTTTGGCAAGTAAACGCGATCATTTTGTTTGTTTAAAAACTGCTGGATAATGAATGTTTTCTCATCGGAGAAAACCAAATTCGGCAGATCATCACTTTCGGCCAAGCGAAGCAACTATTTAGCTCTTTTGAGTCTATTTTCTTTCGGTTGTGATGCAAATTCTTGAACTTTTTGGAATTTCAATGGCTTTACTCCGAGCTCCTTTTTCAATATTTGTAAATTTTTCGGCTACTGCGACGCGGGTTTCGATCAAGTCGCTTCTTTACTTTTCGAACCATTTCTGCTGATGTTGCTGTTTTCTTCCGTCCACTTCCTTGACGTCGGGCTACGCTACCAGTATCACGGTAACGGGCAATGATACGAGACACAAAAGATTTATTCACATTTAAATGCTGGAGTGCTCTAACGTTAGCCACTTGTGGTTTTCAAGCCAAATATAAAGAAATCACATTATCACGCTTGAATTCCATCACGAATAACATTTTTTCTGGAAAAATCTCACTAAAATTCTTTTGTACGCTTGCAAACAATATAATGAGCTGTTACTGGACGGGTGGCTTAGAAATGACAGCAGTTGGTTGCAGTTTTTTCATTTCGCCCTGTATATACAGTTTGTCCGTCTGAGAGTAGGTTGATAAAATTTCAGTAAAATGCGTTTTTGGTCTGCAGGACTTTTTGTATTGGAAATGGGATATATAGGCCCCATATAACGGTACCTCCCTATATTCGGTATTTTGCTGATTTCGGCAACATTATTCTCCGGAATTGCTTCAAATTTCGTATTTGAAGTTCCTAATGGGTACTACAGTCTATGAATAATTGTTTATGCAGGTCTAGGTCTTCGTATAGCCCCCATATATCGGTACCTCCCTATATTTTGCATTTTGCTAATTTCAGCCACTTTATTCACCGGAATCGTTTCAAATTCCGTATTTGAAGTTCTTAATAGGTACTATTGTCTGTGACGATAAAATTTCTATACAGGTCCAGGTCTCCGCATAGCCTCGATATATCGGTACCTCCCGATATTGGGTATTTTGACGATTTTAGCGACATGTGCAGGTCCAGGTCTTTGCATAGCCCCTTTATATCGGTACCTCCATATATTTGGAATTTTGCTGATATCAGCGACATTACTCACCGATATTTTGCATTTAAAGTTCCCAATGGGTAATGGGTAAATAAATTTGAAAATGTACAAATTTGTTCCGAATGGTGGAGGGCCGATCTTACTGCTATTGTACTTATTTCTATGTAAAGAATTATAGATTTTTGTCTTCTATTATTACCTTTCGAAATGTCAATAAAATTTACGTTGCTTGTAACAAAAATCCTTCCAGAATTTCAGTTCTTTGTCCTTTGCAGTTCTTAGATTCCTTTTCGGAATATCAGTTCCAGTTAGTGTTGTCCTAGATCGATGTGTCATTCAAAGTATGTGCCTCAATGGTAGAGCCATTAAAACTACCTACATACAGTGGTTGGGAATTTGACTACCGTAGTACGGGCTCTTTATGTACAGTCCAACTCATAGTTCTCAGAAATTAACAAAAGTTTCCATCCAAATTAAAAAATTACAAACTTATTATTAACAATTGTTTTATTTATTTAAACCAAATGCTTGTTTTCACCAATGCAGGCGAACATTGATCATACCCGGTTAACGACCCCCCTATAAATTGTCTCCCTTGTGACCCACAAGGTTTTACAAACTATTACTATGGCATAAATGCTAATCTCGTTTATTGCCACAGCAAGCTCATCAGGGACAATGGTGGCATACCGGGTTCAGCTCCTTTTTTGAAACCTAAAATGAAGTTAAAAAAAGATTCCCCATTATCATCTTCCATTCATGACTACATAAAAGCAAGGCAAGAAGCCTTTCTCTTACTTACCCAAATACAATACCATGGGAACAAAGCCCCAATGGAAGGTTGTCTTGGCAATTTCATAGACAACTTCCAAACGTTCTTTAACTCCAGGAGACATGGCCATTTTTATAGTTTTTTAATAATTTAAAGATGTAAAATGTGTGTATTGACAATAGCACATGAACTTCCACAAGGGATTTAATGATCGGAAAATGTTTTTCTCAGGGCTCAGGAGGCCGATTTGTTTTTCGATTTTTGGCATTAGTAGGTCGACTTTTGCCTGTGGTAAAAATCATAAAGCCGATTTTTGGTAATCGATTTGCAAAATGGAGACAACACTTTTTTATACAAGGCAAAAAATATATAGGTAAAAAATATATTTGCATTTATTTTAAAGAAAAGATTTAATAATGGGAACCTGATAATGTGAACTTTATCCTTAACTTTTCCTAAGTAAGGGATTACGAAAGTGGACTATAAAGGAAATATATAAGAACGGGCCAAAATGTTTAATATATTTTTATTTATTTATATTTTTGAAGATAGTGCACCAACCAAAAATCTATTATCATGAATATATCGAATCGTATCTGTATTCTGATGGTGTTTCAAAACCACGAACCAATATCTCCACGCAGAGAGATTTCTCTCTCTCTCTCTCTCTCTCTGAGCAATTATTAAAATATAAAATATTCTGATTTGTTTCCCAAAACTGAATATATTTTTGATATCTTACAAGTAATTATTTCAGAATAAATGTGATTACCAAACTATTTTTCATTTCGAATATTGAAATATAGTACATAATAAAGGATTTTCATGCATTAGTATTTGACAGATCACGTGGGATTTCAGACATGGTGTCAAAGAGAAAGATGCTCAGTATGCTTTGACATTTCATCTTGAACAGACTTACTAACGAGCATGGCAGAAGAATACAGGTAGATGCATCAACGCTTGGAAACATTGATATGTCAAAAAAATTTAAATGTTTTTTCAAATATAAGTAGATTTTTTTATGTTTTATTATACTACGTCATTCGGAGGCTATTATAATTCGCGTTTTTCAACAATTTTTACAAATTTAAATAATTTTTCATTCAACATTTTCAATTCCAAAATTGGTTTGACAGTTCATTGTCCCAGCAGCTGTGTCGACGCGTCTACCTATATTCTTCTACCATGCTAACGAGCAACGCTTGCAAATCATTGAATTTTTTTACCAAAATCAGTGTTCGGTTCGAAATGTGTTTCGCGCTTTACGTCCGATTTATGGTCTACATAATCGACCAAGTGAGCAAACAATTAATGCGATTGTGACCAAGTTTCGCACTCAGTTTACTTTATTGGACATTAAACCAACCACACGAATGCGTACAGTGCGTACAGAAGAGAATATTGCGTCTGTTTCTGAGAGTGTTGCTGAAGACCGTGAAATGTCGATTCGTCGCCGTTCGCAGCAATTGGGTTTGTGTTATTCGACCACAAGGAAGATTTTACGCAAAGATCTTGGTGTAAAACCATATAAAATACAGCTCGTGCAAGAACTGAAGCCGAACGATCTGTCACAACGTCGAATTTTCAGTGAATGGGCCCTAGAAAAGTTGGCAGAAAATCCTCTTTTTTATCGACAAATTTTGTTCAGCGGTGAGGCTCATTTCTGTTTGAATGGCTACGTAAATAAGCAAAATTTCCGCATTTGGAGTGAAGAGGAACCAGAAGCCGTTCAAGAACTGCCCATGCATCCCGAAAAATGCACTGTTTGGTGTGGTTTGTACGCTGGTGGAATCATTGGACCGTATTTTTTCAAAGATGCTGTTGGACGCAACGTTTCGGTGAATGGCGATCGATATCGTTCGATGTTAACAAACTTTTTGTTGCCAAAAATGGAAGAACTGAACTTGGTTGACATGTGGTTTCAACAAGATGGCGCTACATGCCACATAGCTCCCGATTCTATGGCCATTTTGAGGGAAAACTTCGGAGAACAATTCATCTCAAGAAATGGACCGGCAAGTGGGCCACCAAGATCATGCGATTTGACGCCTTTAGACTATTTTTTGTGGGGCAACGTCAAGTCTAAAGTCTACAGAAGTAAGCCAGCAACTATTCAAGCTTTGGAAGACAACATTTCCGAAGAAATTCGGGCTATTCCGGCCAAAATGCTCGAAAAAGTTGCCCAAAATTGGACTTTCCGAATGGACCACCTAAGACGCAGCCGCGGTCAACATTTAAATGAAATTATCTTCAAAAAGTAAATGTCATGGACCAATCTAACGTTTCAAATAAAGAACCGATGAGATTTTGCAAATTTTATGCGTTTTTTTTTTAAGTTATCAAGCTCTTAACAAATCACTCTTTATATAGTTCAGTCTTCTCAATTGCCCCAATGTCGTTTTGAAATTTAAATCTCGTAAAAACCGTTACCATTCTGTTTGAAAATCGAATAGTAATAGTTATAATGAGTAAATAATCAGTTTATTACACTTCTAGCGTCTAAGAAAAATCCAAGTTTTTATTTAATGAATATTTTTCTTCATTCTTTATTATTATTTTATTCATTGTTTTTTTATTGAATTAATATTACTTTAATTTTTAAAATTATTTGAACTAAACAAGAAAAAAAATTACAAAGACGGCAAAAATATGGATTTTTGCGCGCCTCTTTGGCTTGGCTCCCAAACCTGTTCATATTTACGTACATCTGTGTGTTACGTACTTGGTATATGTCTCTGCTCTGCCTGTGTTTGTGTATGTCTCTGTGATTGTTTGTTTGTTTACCTTTTTATCGGCTGGTCTCAATGATAATTTCATGAGTATCCAATTGGGATACACTAAATTTCAAGGGAGCATAGGTGCCCAAACTTGCACCCGTCTCAATGGGTAACATATGATCATCGACATGTTCGGAAGTTTCTTCAACAATCACCTCATGGATCTGGTCTGGGTTGAATTTCTGCTCAAGGGCCGATTGGGCATTTTCATTGCATTCGCCTTCATGCATTTCGAAATCGGTGAAATTGTTAAAAACGGAACGGCATACGGCACATTCAAACCCCCTTTTAATTGTTCAAACGGAATCATTAGTTTATGTGAATATTTGTGCAAGATCAGACTACTTACACTGGCTGTTCATCAGCTAATTCTAGATTTTGTTTTGCAATGGCCTGGGCCTCTTCAATGGTTGCCTTCATATCGATGTCCATACCCTCCTTGACATGTGAATGCAAATGCTTTTTAAAATTGCCCAGTTGTATGAAGGATTTCTCACAAATCCTACAGGAATAGGGTTTCGTGTTCAAATGACCCATAATGTGTTTCTTAAGATTAACCCGTTGCGAAAAGTAGCGGCCGCAACGTTTACAACGGAATGGTTTCTCTCCCGTGTGGGTTAGCTGATGACGCTGCATATTGGATTGCTGGGTAAATGATTTTGTACAAAAAGAACACTGATATGGTCGTTCGCCATTATGCACGGAATAGTGGCGATTTAAATTCACTGACTGGGCAAATGCCTTGCCGCAGATGCGACAGACAAAGGGGCGCACATCGTTGTGCACCTTCATGTGGCGTTCCAAATTGCCGCTATTGCAGAAATATTTCTGGCACATTTTGCATTCGTACGATGACTTGGTTTGTGAATGGACTTCCTTTTTGTGTAAAAGCTGGTCGCGCTTGCAAGGGAATATCTGCGAAATTAAAGAAATGTGAATAAAACTCGAACGAGCAATGGAAAACCCAATGGGAGTTTCGTACATACCTTGTTGCATCTTTTGCAAGTGTACATGGACACCATGCCATTCATTGGCACCGTCTCCTCATATTCCTCGGTTGTAGCCATGTCGCCCTCCTAAAGTTGTGTAAGCAAAACAAATGCCATATTAACATGTCAGCCGTGTGTTAAATAGGTTGTAATATTTGTTGCTGTCGCAGTGATTGACAAATACCTGTTTTCTTTTGGAAAGAAGGCTCCAAAATATGTGAGGTTTTCTTGTGGGACCAAGTGGAAAACAGTAATTTCTTCTCGCAAGGGTTGATGGATAGGAATAAAAGTCATATGGTTGACAACAAAATATGGGTAACCAATAGTGAGTAACCAACAACTTGTTGTGATTAGTGCATGACGTAGAAGTGGGTTTGTGGTAGTGACGTAAACGTAGCGGAGAGTGAGAAACTTCTTGAAAAAAATGTTTTTGTGTAATTTTTAATCATTTGACAACAAAAAACTGATAATTGATATCAATTGGACATTAAATGTAACCTGAATATATGTATATAACCAAAAAATCAACTAGGTGCACACAAACTGTAACAGAAATAAAAATCGTTCCGTTTGTTTACCTATTATCCAAATTGTAAAACCGTGGCACAATTAATGAGGTAGGATCATTGGCAAATTAGTTATATATTTGGAAATGATTTATCATTTTCGAATATTATACCCTCCACCATAGTATGGAGAGTATATTAAGTTTGTCATTATGTTTGTAACACCACGAAATATACATTTTAGACCCCACAAAGTATATATATTCTTGATCAGCATAAAATTCTATGTCGATTTAGCGTTGTCTGTCCGTCTGTGGAAATCAATCTAGCTTCCGAATGAATTGAAGTAGAATGATACAATATTACTTAAATTTATATTATGTCAGCAGAACTTTTGGTATTGAAAATTGGCAATGTAGGTCTAGGTTTTGGTATAGCCCCCATATAACTGTACCTCCTGATATTCGGTATTTTGACGATTCTAGCGACATTATTCACCGGAATTGTTTCAAATTTGGTATTTGAAGTTCGTAATGGATATTACAGGCTATGACAGAAAATTGTCTGTGCAGGTCCACGTCTTCTTATAGCCCCCATATAACGGTACCTCCCGAAATACGGTATTTCGATGACTTTAGCAACATTATTCTGCAGAATTGTTTCAATTTTGGTATTTAAAGTTCGTAATGGATACTACAGCCTAAGACAGAATATCGTCTGTGCAGTTCCACGTCTTCGAATAGCCCCCATATAATGGTACCTCCCTATATTCGGTATTTTTGATGATTTTACCTACATTATTCATCGATTTTTTCCAAGTTTCGCATTTGAATATTGTAATGGCTTATGACAAAGGTTGCCTATGCAGGTACACGTGGTCGCATAGATTTAATATTTAAAAAAAATTAACGGATTTTATTTTTAAAAAAAATTGCCAAATTCGTTCCAAAATATAATATGCGGAAAGAGTAGCTATTAAATCTCATTATTCGTATATTTCATATAATTGAAAAGCATAGCTAGCTAAGTCCCAGACTTTTTGAACTGCCCTCGTATATCACTTTTTTTTCAAATAATAAAAACTCACATTTTACTTTCTTAGAAAATAAAAGCTCTTTATTCTTAAAATTATCTTAAAAAACTAATTTAGTTTTGAAAACATTTTCTCCGTTTGGCGTTTCCTCCATAGGAACAGTCCCAAGAAATACAGGCCCACCAGAGATGCCAATGTGAGTAGTAGTAACAAGAAATTATAAATCATAAGATCACTTAAATGCATTTGATCCAAAGGCATGCCAATGCCTTGGGTCTTCAAGGGCTGGCTGCCGTAGCGCAAGATGTAATCCAACCAAAATAGGGCACTTGCCAGACCACCCAATGGCCGATCGCGATATATTTTCGAGATGTCACGAATATTCAAAACATAAAACTCCTTATTGGCCATGGCGTCCAATGCCCAATTCAGGGAAGCCTCTGTGAAATTGGCATAATCAATGCGTAGACCAATTTGCAGCTTCTCAGCAGTTTGGACATTTTCCAATTCATTGTCGAACAATGGTATACCCACAATGGGAACATGACGTATTATAGCCTCTTGCAGAGCCATTAAATCGCCATTCATAATGAACAGCTTAATGTGAGGATGGGCCAAAATATCCGTCTGTGGCACTAAATGATTGAGCATAACATTCTTGGGTAATCCATCGATTTTCTTCAGATCATGACATGTCATCAGGAAACGTTCATCACGTTTGCTAAAGACATGCAGCAGTACTTCCATTCTTTCTTTGGGAATTTCACTGCAAAGTTGTTCATCGCCTAGATTTACATATACCACACCGGAACGGGCCTCATCGAGGAAGCGCCTGACATGCCATGGCAGCTCACGCGGTGCACGTATTTGTAATCCTCCGACGGGTATTATGTTTGGTATCAGAGGTTTCGGTGTGGCCAGGGGGTAGTAATCGTTGACCAAAAGTAAAGCTAGATTCGACTGAAGTTCAACAATGGATGGTATTTGACCTGTGGAGAAGAAACCCAAAGGGAAAATTAAATGAGGATAACAATGTCAATACTTAAGAACATTAAAAGCTAAATTGGCGCCCAATGCGGTCAGTAAAATATTAATTATTATTGTTATTATTATTATTATTATTATTATTATTATTATTATTATTATTATTATTATTATTATTATTATTATTATTATTATTATTATTATTAAATATTATTAAGATTAGGAAAAACAAAAGATTAAGTGGCGCCCAATGCGTGTGAATAGCTACATAAGGTTAGTTTGGAGATTTAACAATTCGCACTTCAAATATAACTTCATACTTGATGCAGTCGTTTTAAATAGAGTTAATTAAAAATGGCCTGAGCAACGGCCTTGTGTTGTAAATAACAAAATGATTTAAAAGTACTTGTAATTAAAAACTGCATGCCATTTATTAATATTTCCTATAAAGTGGCGCCCAACGTAAGAGATTGAGAATATTAATTAAATCGTGCAAATTACGAACGTTGTCTAGTAGCTAACGTAGTTGAATTTAAGCATATATGCCGTCAATTAATTGGTATTTTGATATTGGCGACCAACATGGGATAGATGTTCAAAAAATCATTTAGATTTAAGATTTCAGCTATTATTTAGCATAGCTTGTCTATGGTTTCTTTTATAAATACGTTTTCGGTGTATCTTATTCTATTAACTTTAAGTGGCGCCCAACGTGTAAATTATATTCTACGTTTTTAGTCAGACATTTGCATGTATAAATGCTGGGTGATATCAAAAGTCTCCGGAAATGGCATATTTGGTTTTAAAAACCAAATTTGATTATTCGATATTTTCTAATAACTCAGTGGTGCCCAAATGGGGGAAAAATAGATATTTTTGAAAAATCATGAAGATTTAAGCCAGTCGGGACAGCAGTACACATAATTAATTGAAAATACAAATTTAGATTGTTCACATCTTAAAGTGGCGCCCAACGTATATGAAGTTGTTTAAAGAATTAACTAGATAAGATAAGATCAGATCCCCTGCTTATTTAACATAAACGAGTGTATACACATTTACTTTTACAAATACACTTTCAATTCACCAAGTTTAACGACTTGTAAGTGGCGCCCAACGTAAGAAATTTAAAGACACTGCTACTTTTATAAATACAATTTCGATCAATCTATTCTAGCCACACTTTAGTGGCGCCCAACATTTCAATTAGGTTCTATGTTTTTGAACAGATATTTTCATGGATAATACCTAAAGTATATGGAAATGGTATATTTGGTTTTAAACCTCAAGTTTTAGTTGTCGATATTTTACAGTCACTAAGTGGCGCCCAAAGTGTCAAAATGCAGATATTTGAAAAAAAAAAATCATTAAGATTCGAGGAAAGCTATAATATCGAACGGTCAGAAGGAAAGATATTTGATTTAAAAGCTTAACTTAAATTGTCGATATCTTAAAGTGGCGCCCAACATGTGTGAAGTTGTTAAAAGGATTATCTAGATCAGATCAGATCCCCTTGTGCTGGTGGCGCCCAACGTGTGAATTTGAGGGAATTAAAAATTAGTTAATATTTTAAGTAGTTTGATTTTAAAAGCCAACTTTGGCTTTTTTATATGTTAGGCTATAAGTGGCGCCCAATGTGTGAGTCGTGATAATTTCCTAATATTTATGTAGAAGAAATAGTCAGCAATTTTTATACCCTCAGCCATATTGTTACAGAGGGTATATATCATTTGACAAGGCCAAAACGTATCTTATCGAAATAACGGTTTTAGACCATAGGTCCGTCCGTCCGTCCGTCGATAACGATAATCTAATTTTGCTCGAACTTTGAAAATCCTAACATTTGCATCAGTGCTAAGTCAGGTCAGTGCCTCCCCCACAAAGTCTCAAATTTTTGAATAATTATAACTCTTATTAAATGTGGTGTAAGTGTCCGATTGTCTTCAAATTTCACACATCCCAATATTTATACTAGCATAAGGTCTGGTGTTAAGATGGAATATATCGGTCCACTCCTTCTGGTACCTCCCCCCCCCAAGGAAGGTCGAAATTTTCGAAAAATAGATTTTCTGTATAGAAAGTGAAAGGACAGTGTGATTTTGCTCCATCTTTGATAATCCTAATATTTGCATCAATGCTACGTTAGGTGCGAAAATGGACAATATCGGTTCACTCCATCCAGTACCGCCACCACAATGGGTCAAAATTTTGAATAATTATAACTCTTATTAAAATTAATGTAAGTGCTCGATTATCTTCAAACTACACACATCACCATACTTTTATTTTATTGACCCAAGGTCTGGTGTAAAGATGGAATATATCGGTTACTCCTTCTGGTACCTCCTCCACAAAGGGTCAAAATTTTGAATAACCGAAACGATTATAAAATCCGAAACCAGCATCCGGCTCTTCAAATTACATACATCACAATATATTTATTTATCCAAGGTCTGATATGAAGATGGGACATATCAATTCACTCCTTCTGGTACTTTCCCACAAAGGTTCAAATTTTTAATTATCCATGAAGCTCATAAAATGGGGAATTAACTTCCGATTCCATTCAACCTTGGCACATAAAAATATTTCTATCAACACAAGATCTGTTATAAAGATGGTAGATATCGGACCATTTCTTCTGGTACCTCCTCCTACCTATCCGGGTGTAGATTTAGCTAATAATATTTGGCATTCTAAAGTCAAGTTGACATTTTTCATATTTTCTAACTTATAAGTGGCGCCCGACGTCTAAGTCACTACAAATAAAAAGTTTCTTAGCCCCTTGAATAGTAACAAAATAATGCCTTAAACCCCTTGCTTTTAGTGATTCAACTCGAAATTTCCTTACCTTGCAGCTGTGGCAAATATTTCCGGATCACCTGCTCCTGTTTGGCATAATGTTCCGAAATGAATGCGTCACGGCGTCTCCGGCATTGCTTAATATTATCCAATCTTTGCCAAAATCCAATGCTCGTATCATAATTCTCCAAATTGTAGGGTAAACATGCTGATGGTACCACAATCTCCTGTACCCGTTCCATATAATTTGCAAAATCCGAACTCACAATACCCACAACGGGTGTTCGAAAGTAATAACCTAAAGCCAACAGAGCCTCCGTATAAAACAAGTCCACAATTATCAAATCATAATCGAATTGTTCCGGTGGTGTATCCAAGATATCTTTGACTTGATAATTACTCAGGAAATAATCCATTAGCGAATGGCCAGCATGGGCTAAATATTTGACGAGTTTTTCATCGCCAACTTTACTAAGTTCCTGGAGATCCTTGGTGCCGGATTGTTTTTGAACTGCATGAAGGGACGGGAGATACAATTTTAGAATAGTAAAAATTTGAGGAATTTCCTATACCTACCCTCCTTCCAAAATGGAAATTCTGGTTCCACAACAATTTCCCTTAGATTATCCAGGCGATCGTCCAAACGATGACTGGTAAATATGGTCACATTATGCTCCCTTCGTGCCAATTCCATCATAAATGTTCGCATCAGCATAAAATGACTTTCACTGGCATGCGGGAAGATTCCCAGGATTTTGGCTGCATTTGCGGCAATGTTGTGACTGCCCAAGCTTGCCAGGATAATAAATATTTTCAGCCATTTTAGAAAATCATGTATAAGCTGAAAGAGAAAAATGGAAAATTATTATCTTGCTCCTTTACTTTTTTAAAAATGGTAAAAGTTCCAAAAATAGTAAGGGTAAAAACGGTCCTTTTTTGTTTTATGCCACTGTTTTGTGTAAAGGAATATGTTTCCATTAAAAAAATATAAATATTTTTGCACGTAAAATAACTTATACATATAGCGGATAATAGAGTTTTTCTCTACAAAAAAACCAAACCAATTTTAATATAATTACATTATTACGATTATGGCGCCCAACGTTCAATTCAAGTTCATTTGAAGCCTTAAAGGGTGCATTTCTCCCCCCAAAAAATCTATATTAGTCTAGTATTTAAATTACCAACTTTAAAAATAGTCAAGAGCCAAAAGGTTATTTCAATATGGCGCCCAATGTGGCCGAAAGCGCACGCAGTTATTATACCCTCCACCATTCTATGGAGGGTATATTAACTTTGTCATTCCGTTTGTAACTCCTCGAAATACTAATGCCAGACCTAACAAAAATCGTCAGGCTTAATCCCATTGTTGTTGTTTTTATAAAACAACATTTGTTTTTTAGTGGAGAACGAACTTGATCGGCGTAAAATTCTAAGACGATTTAGCGATGTCCGTCTGTCTGTTGTAATCACGCTATCTTTCGAACGAATTGAGATAGAAGGCTAAAATTTTGTTTATTTTGTCAGTATGCAGGTTAAGTTCGTAAATGGGTCATATAGGTCCACGTTTTCATATAGCCCTCCTATAACGATACCTCCAATATTCTGTATTTTGATGATTTTAGCGACATTATTTACCGGAATTGTTTCAAATTTGGTATTTGAAGTTCGAAATGGATACTACAACCTAGGACAGAAAATTGTCTGTGCAGGTCCACGTCTTCGTATAGCCCCCATATAACGGTACCTCCCGATATTCGGTATTTTGATGATTTTAGCGACCTTTTTCCCGTAAGTAATTTAAAATTTAGTATTTGAAGTTCAAAATGGATACTACACCCTAAGACAGAAAATTGTCTGTGCAGGTCCACGTCTTCGTATAGCCCCCATATAACGGTACCTCCCTATATTCGGTATTTTGATGATTTTAGCGACATTATTCACCGGAATTGTTTCAAATTTGGTATCTGAAGTTCGAAATGGACACTACAGCCTAAGACAGAAAATTGTCTGTGCAGGTCCAGGTCTTCGTATAGGCCCATATACCAGTACCTCCCTATATTCGGTATTTTGACGAGTTTAGGTACAATACCCACCGAAATTGTTTGAGATGTCGAATTTGAAGTTCGTAATGGATGCTACAGTCTGTGACAGAAAATTGTCTATGCAGGTCCAGGTCTTCGTATAGCTCGGACATAACGGTACCTCCCTATATACTTTAATATATAATCAACAATGCCTCTGTGGGTCCACGTCGTATAGACCCCAATATAACGCTTATATTCGGTTATATTTTTAAGTTTTTAATAGAATTTTTAACGAATTTTATTTTTTAAAAATTTTCAAATTCTTTCCAAATGGTGGAGGGTATTCAAAGTTCGACTCGGCCGAACTTACTGCTTTTTAACTTGTTTTTCAACTCAAGTTGTATCTTTCAATTTGTCTAGGCTTAAAGGGTGAATTATTTCTTCCAATAAATCATATAGACCCATTGTTTTATATCGTCCTCAAGAAGTGGTATCCTTCCGATTCCCGGCGTTACTATTTTTAATTTTTAGTCTTCCAACTATGTATTTGGTATATTATATATGTAAGGGATATGGTGTTACACTTATGATTTCGTTGTTTCACAACCATTCTTCCAGCTGAATTGTGGATGTCCTAACGAACCAGCTGGCGTTCGATTATAAAATTCTTTGCTTACACAATTGTTTAATATAAGTTCCTTGAATACTATCGTACTTAGCCATAATATTTGACTAAATTAATTGATTTGTCGCAATGTTCGATATTTGGAGTAACTCCCAACGTAGCAGAATATTAATAAATTGATCAACTTAAATTCAAGTTTGATTCATCGATATTTTCTAGTCTTTGCGGTGGCGCCCAACGTGTTTGAATGAATTGACAGAATTGATAATGTACAATGTTCACCAGCTGTTCACCCTGTTAGATTTGTCACCATGAGTGGGGCTCAACGTAACCGAGTGTTAAAAGCTTAAAATATTTATAAAAAATTTTCTAGTCTTAGGTGGCGCCCAAAGTGTGAGAATTTAGATCATGCACAATTCACGTAACGGTATATATAATTTCTAATAAAATTATTGATTTTTCGCTATGTTGGAGATTTTAAGTGGCGCCCAACTTTAGTAAAATGTTAAAAACTTAATCAAGTGAAAATATCGATAAAATTATCGATTAAATTATCGATAAAATTAAAATATGCATTGTTCACGTAAGATTCGTATAGCGGTACATACAAACCACATTGATTGATTGGTCGCCATTTTTGAGCTTTTGATGGCGCCCAAACGAATGTTAACAACTCAATCAACTGAAAATATCAATAAACTTTTTCTAGTCTTAAGTGGCGTCAAACGTGTGGTCTTAGCCATAATGTGTGCTTGAAATTTTGAGTGGCGCCCAACGTAAACGAGTGTGGCTTATGTTGATTTAAGGGCTATACTTGGTTTGTCCTGATATATGGCGTTGTGTGTTTTTTTTTTTGGGGGGGGAGTAAAATTTCGTTTCGTTCTTCTGCTCCTCCACGAAACAATTAATCTGCTGTAATCAGGGTAACAATACCTACCTGTGATAAAACTTTCAAAATGGGCCAAACATAGCCCCTGAACTCAAATTGCTCCCCGAATGTTGGTGGCGCCCAACGTATGAAAATGTAAACACAATATAGTTGACCTATTCAATGGACTTGTTTAAGGTGTACTGTTATAAATTCTCATATAAATAACCTTTTTCACACACTCACATGCATTTTTGTCCATAATCTCGTTGGTCACCCTAGATGTAGGTTCATAATTTTTGTGACCAAAGGTAGCTCAATTTTCCGTAACACTACCAAAGGGAAGAGTTATTCGTACTAGGTAATGTCAACCTAATCTAAATTGATCGTAAATCTCTCTTTCAGAAAAATTCCAACATTGTTCTCCTGTTTTGTATATTCATAGAGTCAGAGACTTCGTAGATTTCAGGCACATTTTCAATTCGAAGTTGTTGTAATTTTTCAATGCTACTTTTAGAGGTGATAATACATAAAGAGACTTTTTTCTAGCACATCATTTGTGGGCTGTTTTTATACCCTACACCACAAGGTGGTCAGGGTATTATGTCTTTGTGCATTTATTTTGTAACAGGCAAAAGGAAACGAGATATACCCATAGTTCCTTTTGATGATCTGCATAGAATCACATTCTGAGTTGATTTATGCATGTCCGTCCATCCGTCCGTCCGTCTGTCTGTCTGTCCATGTATTTTTGTTAACAAAGTACAGTTCGCATTTATTGCCCTATCCAGATGAAATTTTGCACAGACCCTATTGAAATCGGTCAAAATTTAGATATAACAACAATATTTGGGGAAATATATCAAATACAGCTCAGAAATACATTTGCCAAATTTTATCGAGATCGGTTCAGATTTGGATATAGCTCCCATATATAACTTCGTCCGATTTACCTTTTATTGTGCACCGAACGTCTAATATTTGGCCAAATGGGATGGAATTTGGCACTTACGACCGAATTGAGTCTAGAAGCTAGTATGTCAAATTTGGTGAAGATCGGTTCAGATATAGCTATAGCTCCCATATATATATTGCTCATCCGATTTGTTATATTTGTTACCCACAACTGTAATATGCACTCAAGTTCGTCCCATAATTTGAACTCGGCCACCCTTAAGCCCTTTGTTCTATTACGAAGAAATCAGCCGTCCTCTTATGTACTTTCGCCTTAGAGGAAGTGAAGCTTTCTCTTATTTTAATGGTGATCCTAATGTTTTTAATGCTTTTGCAAGGCCTTCGGAGGTTGTTGGTACTTTTTCGAAGGTCATTCCCGATTTAATTGTTGCATTAGAAATAACAACAATATAAATATTCTAATCAGTTACAAATCAATAATTACATATGTGTAAAAACAACAACAACAATCGAAAAACGTGGGAAATAACATTGAAATAAAATTTACGATGCTGTTGGCTGGCGCCTTGACATCATAACCGAAAAAAAGTCACCGGAACATAAACAATACCCAGAGGAATCAAGGCATGATTGGGACACATCATGTTTCGTTTGTTGTTATTTTTTTTTTTTCAATATTCAAAAAATAATCTCTTGCTCTGGTTCTGTTTGGTGATTTAGTCAGTCCGCCAGCCAGCCTTAGTCTTATCTTTTGAAGAAATGTGAACCACTGGCCGTGATTTGTGTCAACTTTTCTTGTTAGTGTAATTTCAATTTAATATTTAATTCATGTTGTTGTTTCTCAATTTTTTTATTTTCATCCTCTTTAGTTGTTGTAATTTTAAATTCAAATCATTTTTTTATAGAAATTTCAAGAAATTCATAATTTGTGTTTTTTTTTTCTTTCAAAAACTAACCAATTTGGAAATGTGTTGCATGGTTTTGTTGTAGTTGTTGTTGTTCTTGGGGGCCAGATGTTGTTTATTTTGGATTAATTGCCGAGTGAACTCTCTGTGCAATAGAGATGAATGAAATTGTTTTTTGTTCTTGTATTTTATGTGTGCTACTTGTTGTTGCACGGCACTGCAATTTTGTTGTACGAAATTTCGTATTTTTTATGGCATCATAGAGATTTCGTAAGAATTTCACTTATTTATCTTTTTTTCTTTTAATATTTCACTTTCAATTTCTTTTCCTCTTTTTTACTCTTCTTAAATTTTTTTTCTCTTCCTTTTAATTCAAAATAATAAATCTTCTCATAATTTTTGGTATTCAAATTTCCCTCGTTGTTACACTTTTGAATTCGCATTCCAGACTGATTTCATTCAGAACAGTTCCATTGTTCTGAAGTCCATCCAGGCTGCTGTTGTGTGAATTCACTCAACTCATTCACACATACGAAGCTTTGCCGCTCCATATCAAATTGTGCTTCTATTGTTGTTTACAAAAAAAAACAACATATTTTGCTGGAATGGGGGCCACAATGTATAAGGGGGGAGATGGGGCGGAATAGCTGCCTATGACTTTAGCGGGATATTGTGCAAGTATCTTGTGGTTTGTGGGAAGAATAGCCGGAACATGACAGAGAGTATGAAAAACATAAAATAATTTTTTTTTGTACTCATGGCAAATTTGTTGTAATGTCTCTCATGTCGTATTTGTTGTTGTATTATTGAAATACGCTGAGCAGGAAAATGCAAAAGATCATATGAACGAATAAATTTGAACCACACCAAGATCTTCTTACACACATTCCTTGGGTATGCAATATGAGATTGTCGGCCGGAAAATGAGAATGTGTTCTTATAGAAAACAAGTAAAATAGTATCAGTCGGTTTTGCCGACGGATGTATACCCCCACCTTGAGTTATGAACGTGACAGATTTGGACTATATCGACTACTTCTTGTACTTTATATGAGGTATGTGCACCTTTTCGGAAAATGGAAATATGCGTCAGGTAACATATATAGCGGACCGAAGTATTCCATTTTCACACTTCATCTAATACAGATAAAATACATCATCCAAGTGTGAATAGATTCGGATGTTAATTTTGCGTTTTATGAGCTTCATAATTACTCAAAATTTTGACCTTTTGTGGGGGAGGTACCAGAAGTAGTGGACCGATATATCCCATCTTCACACCAGATCTTGAGTTAGTAGAAATAATGGACGTATTTAATATGAAGAGAACCGGATGTTTATTTCGGATTCTTTGCTCGTTTTTAATACTCAAAACTTAGGTCCATTGTGTGGGAGGTACCAGAACGAATGGTCCGATCTCTACCATCTATATAAAAGATCTTTATGAAAATATTGAGACGTGCCAAGTCTGAATGGAATCGTGTTTAAGTGTTTTAAGAGCCTGATGAATATTCAAAATTTCGACCTTTTGTGGGGGAGGTACTTGATGGAGTAGACCTACATTATCCATTCTTGCACCTGACCTAGAACTGACGTAAATATCAGGATTTGCAAAGTTGGAACAAAATCGGATTATCGATTCTCTTTCTGTGCAGAAAAAATATATTTTTTTGAAAATCTCGATCATTTGTGTGGGAGGTACCAGAAGGAGTGGACCGATATATTCCACCTTAACACCAGACCTTGGGTTAATATAAATATTGGGATGTGTGAAATTTGAAGACAATCGGACTCTTACAACACATTTTATGAGAGTTGTAATTATTTAAAATTTTGTGGGGGAGGTAACAGAAGGAGTGGGCCGATATTGTCCATTTTTACACTTGACCTAGCACTTACGCAAATATTAAGATTTGCAAAGTTTGAGCTAAATCGGGTTATCGCTTCTATTTCTGTGCAAAAAATATTTTTTGAAAATTTCGACCTTTTGTGGCGGAGGTACCAGAAGGAGTTGACCGATATTGCCCATTTACGAACTCGATCTAAGTTTGACAAAAATATTACGATGTACCAAGTTTGGACCAAATCGGATACTGCCTTCAAGAGTTATCGTGCGTACCAGCCAGCCAGACAAACAGACGGACGGACATCGCTAGATCGACTCCAAATGTTCTGAAACGGATTTGGTCCAAAGAGACCTAGGGTCTAAAACCGTTATTTCGACTAGGCACGTTTTGACCGTATCAAATGATATATTCCCTCTGTAGCCATATGGCTGAGGGTATAAAAACCCTGGTATAATAATACAGGTAGTCGCATCGACACAGCAGCTGGTACAATGAAATGTCAAACCGATTTTGGAATTGAAAATATTGAATGAAAAATCATTGACATTTGTAAAAGTTGTTGAAAAATTCATAACATTACAACCTCCGATTTGCGTCATATAAGAAAACATATAAAAATTTACTTATTTTCGAAAAAAAAAAACATTTAAAATTTTGACATATCAATGTTCCCAAGCGTTGATGCATCTACCTATATTCTTCTACCATGGACGAAACCAAGACATTTTGTGTACGGAAAGTCCCCTCTAGTCTAACTCTATAGAAGTGATGAAAGATTTATGACAGACAAATGTGAATCTCAGTTTCCTTTTTGGTACGGTTATTAATAATTATCGGTTTTAATAAAGCTAGGTGATTTAAATTGCCAATTTCATAATAATTTTTACATAATTTTACCATAGTTTTTACATTTTTGAAATTTTATTGAATGAGAGCAAAAAATGTCGGAAATAACATCAAATTTTAAAATAATTTTAGATTTGTTCGAATTGGTCACCTTTGGCACGAATTATGGCTTCAAAGGCCAATGAAACCGTTACACGCTGCCCGAATTTTGCTCAGCGGTATTTTGGCCCATTTCCGGCGAAGCACTTGCTTGTAGTGGTGTCACTTTAGGTATTTTTTAGTGCCAACCTTGCTTTTCAAAATACTCATCGGAGACGGAGAAAACCAAATTCGGCAGTTCACCACTTTCGGCAAATCGAAGCAATCCTTTAGCTCATTTGAGTCTATTTTCTTTCTGTTGCGGTGTAAGTTCTTGCACTTTTTGGAATTTCAATGGCTTTACCCCGAGCTTATTTTTCAATATTTCCCGAATGGAATATTGAGATATTTTCAGCACAGGAGCCATTTTTCGACGCGGCCTTCGATCAAGTCGCTTCTTTACTTTTCGAACCATTTCTGCTGATGTTTTCTTTCGTTTACTTTCTTGACATCGGGCTACGCTATCAGAGTCACGGTAACGAGCGATGGTACGAGACATAAAAGATGTATTCACATTTAAATGCTGGAGTGTTCTAACGATAGGCACTTGTGGCTTTCCAGCCAAATATAAAGAAATCACACTATCACGCTTGAATTCCATCACGAATAACTTTTTTCTGGAAAACATTGTCCATTTTCGCACCTGACCTAGCACTGATAAAAATATTAGGATTTGCAAAGTTGGAGCAAAATCGGATTATCCTTTCTGTTTTTGTGCAGTAAAATATTTTTTTTTTGTTTTTGAAAATGTCGACCTTTTGTGAAGGAGTGACCGATATTGCCGATCTCTCAATTCGATCTAAATTTGATAATAATATTACGATGTACCAAGTTTCGACCAAATCGGATACTCCCTTCGAGAGTGAGTGACCGCACAAGCCAGACGGACGGACATCGCAAGATCGACTCCAAATGTCCTGTCCAAAGAGACGTAGGGTCCAAAATCGTTATTTCGATGAGGCATTTTTTGGCCGTATCAAGTGATCCTCTCTAATTGACAGATTTTCTTGGAAATATGTTTTTTTTTTTCATATACTTCTTTTGTATCCGCACCCTCTTTTCAATTAACTTATGTTCCATAACCACTCTACCTAACCTTGGTTTAAGTGTTTTTTTTTTTTTTTCACTTGAAGGTTCACTTGAAGTACAAATACCATTTACATCCATCACTTCTTTGGCCAAAGGAAAAGTGGCATCGGTAATTTGTCTCTCATCATTGACTTTCAAACATAATTTGTAATGGGTCTTATGAAACGAACCCATCCTCTTACTTTCTCCAATGCCAAAGGCCAATAAGCATCAAAAGTAATTTGTTGTTAGCGTAAAATCGTGATGAACTTATTTTCTATGCGATTTTGTTTGCTGTGGTCACAAAGTAACAAACTAAGTTTGAAAAATTCAAAGCATACTTTCAGGCGTTGAGAAAGTCAATAACAAATGAGAAGAAAACTAGCAAAATTCAAAGATTAGGAGGACGATAGGAAGTGAGAAGTTCGTAATGGATACTACAGCCTATGACAGAAAATTGTCTGTGCAGGTCCACGTTTTTGGTATACCCCCCATATTACGGTACCTCCCGCTATTCGGTATTTTGTTGATTTAAGAGACATTATTCACCGGAATTGTTTCAAATTTGGTATTTGAAGTTCGTAAAGGATACTAACGCCTATGGCAGAAAATTGTCTGTGCAGGTCTACGCTTTTGTAAAGCCCCCATATAAGGGTACCTCCCGATATTTGGTATTTTGTTGATTTTAGCGACATTATTCAACGGAATTGTTTCAAATTTGGTATTTGAAGTTCGTAATGGATAATACAGACTAAGACAGAAAATTGTCTGTACAGGTCCACGCCTTTGTATAGTCCCCATATAACGGTACCTCCCGATATTCGGTATTTTGATGATTTCAGCGACATTATTCACCGGAATTGTTTCAAATTTGGCATTTGAAGTTCGTAATGGTTACTACAGCCTATGACAGAAAATTGTCTATGCAGGTTCACGTCTTCGTATAGCTCCCATATAGCGGCACCTGCCGATATTCTGTATTTTGATGGTTTTAGCGACTTTTTTTCACCGGAATTGTTTCAAATTTGGTATTTGAAGTTCGTAATGAATACTGCAACCTACGACAGAAAATTATCGATGCAGGTGTACGTCTTCGTATAGCCCCCACATACTGGAACCTCCCAATATTCGGTATTTTGATGATTTTAGCGACTTTTTTCACCGGAATTGTTTCAAATTTAGTATTTGAAGTTTGTAATGGATACTACAGCCTTTGACAGGAAATTGTTTGTGCGGGTCCACATCGTCGTGTAGACCCTAATATAACGGCTACATTCGGTATTTTTAAGATTTTAAGAGAATTTTTAATTGCCAAATTCGTTCCAAACGGTGGAGGGGTTTCGAAGTTTGGCCAGGCTGAACTTACAGCTTTTTTACTTGTTTATACCACTTTACTTGATTCCTTCCTCTGTTAAGGTATCTAAAATGCAACCAAATTTTCTAACAAAACACATCTTCAATCACAAATTTGTTTTACTTTCTCCAATAAAGTTTCATGGAATATTCTCGATGGACATCCCACTTTTTCTTTTACCAACATTAAAAACTATATCACTTCTGGTCAACTCCAGCCACTACAAGACAACAATGTCAATATTGGCTTAACACATTTGGCACATTTGTGTGTGTGTGCGACTTTTATTTTTGTCAATCTGTGCCAATATGAAATTCTCAGCACGACCGATTAGCAATCAATTTTTGACAAAATGCTAAACAATTAAACCAACAACAACAGACAAACAATAGCTTGCGAATTGTTTAAGTAAAGATGATGACACAAGAATAGCAAAGCAAATAAAGGAAAGAAAAAAAAAACAAGAACCAGCCAACAAAGAAAGCTTAAGTTAAATGAAACTGCTGAGGGCATGTGATGTGGGTTTAAAGACTGCAAGTTGTTCCTTTGTTTAAATTAAGAGAACTGGTTTTGTGGTCGCTGTTGTAATACGAGACAGCCACTAAAATGGCAAAGAAGTTCTATGTGGTTTTGCCGTCCCCTGCATTTTTCGAAGGCTAGTTAACAACAAGGCAAAGAAAGGAATGGTTTTTGTTTTTAGTTTTTTTTTTTATAGTTTTTATTTAGATTCACAAAAGATCACTTGTTTGTTTTTTGTTTCTCATATAGCTGAGAGCGATAAAAATTATCCTCCATTATTCTCTGTATTTTATTTCTTTTTTAAATCTAATGAGAATTAAATGCAACAACTTTATTAAACTCTGTTTTTTTGTGGGTGTTTGTTAACCTAACATAGATATCTCATTTGTTTAAAAATCTACAATAAGATGTTCTTTTCTTTAAATATCTCTCGGTTATTTTTTTTTTTTTTTTAACAAAAAAGCAATTGCTCTTCTTTCTATTTGCGTTTCAAAAAAAGATATCTTAAATAAGGAAACTTATTACAAAGAATGTCCCATAAAAGACATTTGGGGGTGGTTATTATTTGCATTTTATTTATTCAGCATCAGCCTTGGACACAGCGAAGGGTTCAGCCACGGGCAATGAACCACTCTTGGCAATCACAACATCCTTGACGGGACGGTCACGACCATCTGTGGCAGTGTTCTCAATTTTGCGCACAACATCCATGCCAGACAAAACCTTGCCGAAGACAACATGACGACCATCCAACCAGGAAGTTTGTTTGGTGGTAATGAAGAACTGAGAACCATTGGTATCCTTGCCAGCATTGGCCATGGACAACCAACCGGCACCATAATGCTTCAGCTTGAAGTTCTCATCTTCGAAACGTTCACCATAGATGGAACGGCCACCGGTACCATCACCCCGAGTGAAATCACCACCTTGGATCATGAAATCTTTGATGACACGATGGAATTTGCTGCCAGCATAGCTAGAAGAAAAAAAGAAGAATAAAAGATAAGCGTTTTAGTATTTGTATTATCTCTACAACATTGTTGTTATTCGAACAAATTAAATTTGATTGCAACACAATGGACATGTCAAAGTAATTCGTTCAATTTGAATTAATTGTTTGGACACATGGGAAGACATATTTTCAAGATTTATGAAGACAAATTGTGTCACAGAAGCAAGGTGTATAAAGGGCACTAATGGTAAATTGAAATATTGTAACAAATTAACTGGCTTTCAGTATCAAAATATGACAGATTTGGTTTTAGGAAGACATTTTCAAGATTTTTTTTTTGAAGAAATTAAAGAAATTACTTATAAGTGGCAATATGACATTAATATGCTGTATAAAATCAGCATCGAAATGAGATTAGGAAACTATGTTCGCACACTAAGTTCTGGTTTCCGAAATTTATAAATTATGCCGCTCAATATGTGGTTCTTCAAGAATATTGTTTCATCCATTTTCAATATCGAAAATCCTATCTAATTTCAAACCTTAAATTTTAATTTCCACAGCCCAAGGCAAGACTCATATAAGAACTTTTTTGGTCTGAGAACTACAAGCGCTCCATATTTTGCTTTCTCCCGTATTTATACCCAACAAAATTGCAAAAATAAATAAATAAAATAGTATCAGGTTTATACCCCCAGCCTTGAGTTACGACTATTCAAACTGTTGCCCCTTTATGGGGGAGGTTCCGAAGCAGTTGGCCAATATTGACCAATTCGTATTTGACCTAAGACTGATATAAATACTACAGCGTGCCAGATTTGGACTATATCGTCCACTTCCTACACTTTATATGAGATATGTGTAAATTTTTGAAAAATGTGGAAAATATGCATGAGGTAACAGATATAGCGGGCGGAAGTATTCCATTCTCATACTTCGTCTAATACAGATAAAAGTATTGGTATGGGCAAAATTTAAAGGATATCGAACATTTATATCAAATTTTATCCGAATTCATAAATTTCGATAAATTACAACTTATAAAGAATCGCCGACTTGTTCCGCAAGTTATGAGAGATATAAGTATTGGAAATTATGACCTTTTGTGGGTGAGGAACCATAAGGGGTTGGCAGATATATATCATCTTAACAACAGATCTTGCGTAAGAAAAAAATTTTGTATGTGTGAAATTTGAAGAGAGTTGGATGCTTCTTTCGCCTTCTTTAAGCGTTTTTTTTTAACTTTGACCCTTTGTGCGGGAGGTACCAGAAGGAATTGTCCGATCTCTACCATCTTTATAACAGATCTTGTGTTTTGAGATTTGTCAAGTCTGAATGGAATCGGATGTCAATTTCGGGTTTTATGAGCTTCATGGATATTCAAAATTTTGACACTTGGTGAGGCAGGTACCCGAAAAAGTTTACCGATATACCCCATCTTCTTAGCAGATCTTGTGTTAGTAGAAATAATAGGATGTATTAAATATGAAAAGAACAGGATGCTTATTTCGATTTTTTTTATTCATTTTGGTTATTCAAAACATTGACTCTTTGTGGGGGAGATACCAGAAGGCATGTTCCGATCTCTACCATATTTATAACAGATCATGTGTTGATAGAAATATTGAGATGTCAATGTCATGCCATGTCAAATTCTTGTTTTATGAGCTTCATGGATATTCAAAATTTTGATCCTTTGTGAGGGAGGTACCCGAAGGAGTGAACCGATGTATCCCCCCATCTTCACATTAGACCTTGGGTTAATAAAAATATTGCGATGTGTGCACCCTGCAATTGTAAAGGTATAGCCCAGTCAACAGTTGATTGTAAATCAAGGTGGGAAGTATTTATAAGTTAGCCCCCAGATGGCACTGAAAAAAGCTAGAGTCAAAGACATAGAAGTAAGTAAAAAGATGGGAATGGGCCAAAAATCATGTTACCTCAGTTGTTATGACAATGATAATATTATTCTATTAACCTTAATGAAAAATGTTTGATCCACCGTACATTTTATTTGTCATTCTGCTCTATAATTGTATTTTTACTAACATGCCATTGTGATAAGCTGTTGCTCCACATATAATAACCACAAACCATTTTCTAAGAATGCATTTAGTCAAGTCTTTTCGTATTTATATCTTTGTTACATTTTTCTGAGATAGAAATGTAAAAAATATACTATTCTCTACTCTATTTCGAATACTTCTGTATTTCTGAAGTAGCAATTGTTCTCCTGCAGTCCCTGAATTTTTGCTCTCATATATATATAGGTCACACCTGGAATAAAAGAACATCCATTTTTTCCAGTAACTTCATTTCTAAAGTGATGGCCTACTTTTTCGAAGCTTGAAAAATTAAATTGAATCCAAGGGTATACATTAGACCATGGTAGAAATACCAGGTAGCAACATAGGCGAAAATTACAACAAAGCAACTTTTTTGGAAACTTGATATGTCAAAGTTGTAGTCAGGGCGAATTGATTTGAAGTACAAAATTTGGGGCAAATTATTTTTCCAATCAAAATATTGAATTAAAAATTTTCAAAATTGTTGTTTTTTCTATTACAAAAGCAAACATTCAAAACTTCCATCATCGATTGAAAGTAATGCTGAAGCCGCTGCACCTTGGTTTGATTATAGCACGTTCAATACAACATTTTTGAAAATCACAGAGACTGGAAATGGAGTGATCGTAGTCTCCAGCGCGCCAACGAAGGACATTTGCGATAATAGATGTTATCTCTTCATCATCTTTACACAGCATGCAGTCTTGGTAACGTTGGCAACGTTTATTTCATATTCAACAGCGATAATGTTCTTTACAAGAAAATATCCGGAAAATTAGTTTTGATGCTTTAAAATTAGGTTTTGTCGTGGTTCTGGGGTGTAGCCTTTTTTCTTTTGCTACATCATCAGCTTTCTCGCTGTAGTGACATGCTACCTAAAAGGTACTTTAGGGTATATTTACTCCTCAGGCTTACTTAAGATTTGGATCAAAGATTGCAGAAGATACAGGGGGCTGAGTCTACTGTGAGTCCACGCATATTATTTGCTTAGCTATGAAATGTATAGCAGACAGGAAGTCTTTTATGTATAGATAACTTTAATACATTCGAGCAATTTGAAATAAAAAAAATCTCAATATTTAATCACACCCCAAAAATTGCCAATGTTTTGTTCCCCAAACCAATCCAATATGCTTTGGAATCATTCACCTTTCACTGTTGAATCCCTATAGTATATAACATAGTTGAAAATCCGTACAAATAAGATGATGAAATTCCATGTATCGGTTTATCTCCTATATGAAATTGATTCCCTGTTTCACTTATTTCAAATATCCACGAATTTCAAATCTCCATATTACCTATGCCTACCATATGTTGAATATACACTTCTTCCCTCATAATCTATACAAACGTAAAATCTCGATTTTCTATCAATAACAATGTTAAAGTTTGAAATCATGCAACAATTTTCTTATGTGTAAATGAAGGCGAATTCAAATTACAACAATTTTTTGACATATCAAATTGATACCAGCTGGCCTGAAAGGGTTACCTTGTAATTCTACCATGCATTAGACCCAAAAATAGACCATCAAAAGAACTTTGATGACAGTTAAAGTTCATTAACATAGAAACTTTATTTAAAAAAACTTATTTATTCAAAAATTGCGAATTTTGAAAAACCTGTTTTTTAGCATTAAGTAGCGAATAGAAAGCCGAAGACAAAATATTAATGAATTAGCAAAATTTCCAAATTATATTTACCGTATGGTTTGTTTTGATAAAAAAAAAACTTGTTTTTTAAGAACACTAGTAGTCTGCATAAAAACAACAACAATAATGTTCAAGCATTAACATTTCTTTCGGTTCTTGTCTTGGCGGAAAGCTCACATTTTTGACAGTATTATAAATTCAATGTTTTGCGTTATTTACACCGAATATTTGTCATATACCGCGATACATAGATTTTCAATTTCTTTGATGATACGTCAAATGAATCATGAATCTTTGTAAAACGCATAATTAGGCACCGATTTAAAGCGTTATTTTCCAGACGGATCTTTGTGAACGTGAATATCTTTTAAGCAGGAAGTTTTTTTGCAGGACTGCGAAATATTCAAGGAAAAATAATGATGTATCTAAACGTGTCGAGTCCTACTCGAATAAGGACTGTCGAATAAGGCACATGGAAACAAACAATATATCAGCAATTGCTAAATCTTAAATCATCTTCGAAAACCTATTCCATTGGTAGAATAACCTGCCAGTACACGTAGCAGAAGTCCTTTTCTGTGATATACTTTCCTTCAGCATATTTGGTTTTTCATTCTTTAATTTCGCTTTTTTCTTCATCGACAATTTGGCCACATAGATTGCTAAACTTACATTTATTTACAAATGTCTAAACAGTGTTTTGCATGCTTGGCCACCTTGCCATAATCACACGTTTCTTCTGCCATTCAAATGCAAAAATTGTCAAATTTTATAAATAGTATAGACCGACATTGGGCCTTAACATTCTCAAAACAACCATAAACTTGTACATGAATGAAAATGAAGCACAGGGCAACAACAACTACAGCAAAACTGCAAGGGATTCTTTTATTGTAAAAAAAAAAAACGAAATAAAAAAACAAATTTCAAAATGCAACATATTATCGTCACTCATTGAAATAGGCAATTGGGTGATACTTTGATACGATGTTGCAGCAGCAGCATGCATACATACATTCGACACAAAGATAAGAGAAGGAGGTGATGATGATGCTGACCTAATTTTTAGTTCTGACAATTATATTAAAGTGCCACATATGTATGCATACATGCGTGTTCTTCACTTTTATTACAGTATACATGTATATATGGCTACATTTCAGTGATAAGGATCCCAATTTTGGGTAGTGAAAAGATTTGTCAAATTTTTTAATGAAAATAAAAAAATTGAAAACGTGTAAAGATAACGAAAAACCTAAAAGAAAAATGTTCCAAAATGGTTAATATTTAAAATATAAAATAAAATTTTCAAATAGAAATGAAAAATAGAACGATAACGAAAAAAAAACGAAACAAGTAAAATAGCTGTAAGTTCGGCCGGGCCGAATCATTTGGAACGAATTGGACAATTTTCAAAAAATAAATAAATAAATAAATAAATTAAATAAAATCCGTTAAAAATTCTGTTAAAATCTTAAAAATACCAAATGTAGCCGTTATATTAGGTTACATACGACGACGTGGAACTGCATAGGCAACTTTTGTCATAAAAATCGGGGAAAATGTAGCTAAAATCATCGAAATAACGAATATAGGGAGGTACTATTATATGTCATGGGCTGTAGTTTCCAGTAGGAACTCCAAATACAAAATTTGAAACAATTTCCGTGAATACTGTCGCTAAAATCATCAAAATATCGAATATAGGGAGGTACCGTTATATGGGGCCTATACGAAGACGTAGACCTGTACAGACAATTTTCTCTTTTAGGCTATAATGTCCATTACGAACTTCAAATACCAAATTTGAAACAATACCTGCGAATAATGTTGCTAAAATCATCAAAATTCCGAATATCGGGAGGTGCCGTTATATGGGGGCTATACGTAGGCGTGTACATGCACAGACAATTTTCTGTCGTAGGCTGTAGTATCCATTACGAATTTCAAATACCAAAATTTGAAACATTTCCGGTGAATAACGTCGCTTAAATCTCCAAAATACCGAAAATAGGGAGGTACCAATATATGGGGGCTATACCATAACGTGGACTTACTTGGCCCATTTTCAATACCGAAAGTCCTCCAGACATAATATACATTGGATTTTAAAAACCTACTTCATTTCGTTCGGAAGCTAGAATGATTTCCACAGATGGACGGACATCGCTAAATCGACATAGAATTTTAAGCTGATCAAGAATATATACACTTTGTGGGGTCTAAAATGTATATTTCGAGGTGTTACAAACGGAATGACGAACTTAATATAACCTCCATATTATGGTGGAGGGTATAAAAAGTGCCAAAATAATTAATAATTGAATATAAACAGCATCTTAAAAAATGGTATATCCTACTGTTAATAGAATAGATAGGATCTAAGTTTGATTGGAATATCAAAAAACTTGGAGGCTTTTTATACCCTGCGCCAAAGTGAGGTATTATGTCCTGTATATTTGAAATATAGAGAAAATGGAAAAGACCCAAAGATACTTATGATGAGCTTCATATAATCACCTTCCACCAGGATAAGTATATTGAAATCAAATCAAATCGATTCATATTTAGCTATAGCTTCCATATGAAATTCATCGCATTTGTATTAGAACCTACTAATTGTCATAACATGCACATCAAACAATGTTATTTGGTACGATAGGTTGCAAATTTAGTGGAAAACAATTAAGACTAAACTAAGCTCTTACGATCATATTTAATTGCAATAAGTAACTTCAACAATTTGATATTTCTTGCGGAAATATATAATACCCATATAGGCCTATCCAAAATATATGCCCTCCCTTGGACCTAAAACTTGGCAAAGAATTGTTACACACAAGTAGGTTTAAAAGCGTTTAAATTTCGCCCATGAAATGGCTGAGTTAGCATCATTGCCAAGTTGTCTTTGTTTTCATGTCGCGTTCTTGACTACCCAAATAAAAACACTCACTCATCATCAACAGTCAATGCTCTCATTATTTTTGCTAGCTATTCCATTACCCGCGCTCCACTGTAATGTTATCAACATTCAAGAATCTTGAAGTGCATGCACACGACAAGAAACAAAACAAAAACAATTTTTAAACACACAAGCTTGAGACTCAATTAAACCTAACCTAAAAAACACACAAGCTACACACACAACAAAGCAAAAGTCATTTATCATCATTTTACTGGTATGTGCCAACCATCTTAATTTTTTAACTCTCTTCTCTTGATTTCTATGTTCTCCCCCCACTGATTCTTGAACAAGAACCTTCATGTTTCATTTTTTTTCATAAAGCCAAAAAGAACAATCAACTTACCCTTCTCCAGCGGGTTTGTCAGCCAATTGTTTGAAATTCTCGACTGTTTTGGGTACGGTCTTGCCAAACAAGCCAATTTCAATGCGGCCGGCCGGTTCGTTGCCAATGGTTATGTCAAAGTAAACCTATGCAAAATATGGATGGAATGGAAAAGACAGGCAGGCGGGCAGGCAAACGTCATCATCATCAGCAGCAGCACCAACGGGCACAAACAATGGAAAGAAAACACATATACACACACAAAGATTAGAACATTTGCCAAAATTTGTATAATTTATAATATACAATGCGTTTGTGGGAACACACAAGGGGAAGAGTGAAAGAAACATAACTTAATAACTCATTATAACTTGGATTTAAACTAAATAAAAATCTGGGGAACTTGTTTAATGTTTCTTGACCTCACAAAGAAGGAACAGAGAACCCATTTTATTTGTCTTTTCCTTACCTTTTCGGTTACTTTGGGTCCTTTGCTATCATCAGCATTAACAATGGTTAATGCTGCCACTAGGCACAAACACAAAAACAATTTCATTTTTAGTTATTCTTTAGTTATTTGTACGTCCGGCGCAATAACTTTCCGTGTCCAGTGTAAACTAACGAATGTTAAATGTTTTGTTTCTTTCTATATAGACGACGTTCAGCCAGATTTCCTTGGTTATCTTTCGAACAGATAACACACTGAACTGTTATAGTCTTCCTTCCCTTATTTGACAGTGAGTTAGAACAGTTCAGCTAGCTATTCCGTTGCGGTTACTCTATTGTGTGTTGTGACACGTAATTGTTATAAATGAAGATAATCGCATTCCTTCTCTTTTCTCTGAGAAAGAAACAACAGCAGAGCACATTAGTCAGAGATGGGAGATTTAAATTGTATGAGGAAAATGATATGGACTGTTACTACATTCATAAAAACGGTTATAAAGAGAGCTATTTAAAATTAAATGTTGTGATTGAGTTACGAATGGTCTCGTTCTAGAGTTGCATATGAAGTGTACCAATTGACAGCTGCAACTAAATGACCAAAATACAGAAGAAAATGATTAGGCGCCGATTTTAAGGCATTTACGTAGGAAATTTGTCATTTTCATAAGCCATTACAATATTCAAATGCGAAACTTGAAAAAAATCGCTAAATAATGCAGCTTATATCAACAAAATACCGAATATAGGGAGGTACCATTATATGGGGGCTATACCAAAACGTGAACCTGCCCAGACAATTTTCTGTCATAGGTTGTAGTATCCATTACGAACATCAAGTACCAAATTAGAAACAATTCTGGTGATTAATGTCACTAAAATCATCAAAATTCCGAATATCGGGAGGTACAGTTATATGAGGCTATACGAAGACGTGGGCCTGCACAAGTCAATTTTCCGTCATAGGCTGTAGTATCCATTACGAACTTCAAATACCAAATTTGAAACAATTCTGGAAAAGAACGGCGCTAAAACCATCAAAATACCGAATATCAGGTGGTACCATTATATGAGGGCTATACTTAAACCTGGACGACTTGGCCCATTTTCAATAGCAAAAGTCCTGCAGACATAATATACATTTGAGTAAAATTTTATCAACCTACTTCATTTCGTTCGGTAGCTAGAGTGATTTTCACAGACGAACGGACATCGCTAAATCGACATAGAATTTTATACTGTTCAAGAATATATATACTTTGTGGGGTCTAAAATGTATATTTCGAGGTGTTACAAATGGAATGAGAAACTTAATATACCCTCCATACCATGGTGGAGAAATAAGGAGTGCGACTTCCAAAATAAAAATGTTTTTCTTTTTTTCAGAACGACTCTTTTTCAAAAGGCAACTTCCAGTAACAATTTCCAACAATTGATACAATCCTGGTACAATAAGGAAGTAGAACAGCTTCGTAAAAGAACAGAATTACAGCCCTGTTCTGTATAAATATAAGGTGTGTCTGGTTACTTTTCAGCAGGAATTGTCCAGCAACTTCTTTCTGAGAGAGTAAGGTACTTTTATTCTCTTTTGCAAGGAAATTGCGAAAAGTAAACAGACGGTATTCCTGCAGAAGCTTGCAACTAATCGGCTGATTTGTCAAAACAAACCAATTTGTCCCCCATAAGGAGAATTAAAACAAAGGAAGCAATATTAATTTTACAAGTTTTTTAAATAAAAATGTTGGAAATAGTCTTTTATTTTCTTATTACATATTAACATTAACGTTTTTCACATTTTGTAAAGTTGTTCTCCAAAAACTATTAGTCATGCTAATTCCAAAAAAAATATTTTCAAATTTAAAGCACAAAAATAAGTAAACAAACAATAGAAAACATCTGATTGAATGTCGATGAATGAGAAGAAGAAGAGTTGCAAGTGATTGCAAGAAGAAATTTGTCCAGCAAGAATTTGCAAACTCTCACTGAAAGAACTGTCAAAATGTCTCTCTCCAACCGCTCTCTTTTGCAGAACTTTTGGGTTAACAGACGATTTCCAGTAACAATTTGTAACAATTGTTACAAATTTTAGGGTAACAAGACACACCTATAGCTTAAGAATTTTGAAAAATTTAACGGCCTTCCCATATTAAAAGGGTCTTCCTTCGGGATTATAAAAAGTGTTTTCCTGAAGGTTCTAAATAAAATTGTCACTAATTTGAAATATTATTTTATTTGCTATTTTATTTAAATAATAACTTGTTGGTTTCAATTTTTATTGTTGTTAACATAAAATACCACATATGAATGTTTGTATAATTTGTAGCATAAATCATTATTATTTTGTTGTTGAGTTTTCTTTTCTCTCTTTTAAATGATAATAAATAAAAATGTAAATTTCTGCATTCGGTTACATTAAAAAGAAAATTATAAGAATAAATAATAAAAACACCACTAAGCCTAGTTGTAATCTTGTATATATGTATATAATAATTATAATTTAAAATAAAATAGCTTAACTACTACTTAAATACAATATAATTGTTGTTATGTATAATTTAATCCCATAAAGACTAATAATAATGAGAGTATAATTTTTACTAATTATTTTATATTAGAAAGCTACAAAAAAAAAAGAAGAGGAAAACAAATAATTTACAACTTTGTACAATTCGGGAGAAGGGAGAATATTTTAAGAATTTTTATAGCAAAACAAATAGAAAGAAATAAAGAAGTAATTAAAAACGTGAAACAAATTAAAAAGAAGAGATCGAAATCATAAGGGATATATGTAAATTACAAAAAGCATTACAAAAAATTAATTTAACTAAATGCATGCAAGAATGTTCGAACTTATACTTCTTGGTTTTCTTTAGAGAACTGAGCAATGTTTGGAGGCATATATATGTGGTGGTGAGGGGGGGAAATTTATATTGTTGCAATTAAATTTTGAAGATGTGTTGCGTTTTTTTGAAAACTATAATCGGAAAGGCGGGAACGTCAAATGAAACTTAGTAAAATGATCAGTCATTGCTTCCAATAAGCGATTCTTGTTGCTCCTCGTCGTTTATTCTGCAAGAGGAAAATTTTTAAAAATTATTATTAAAAATTTTAATTTTATTATAAATTTTAAGAGAGAATTTAAGTGGTTCACATGTTTCCAAAATAGCTATATCGTTTTCGATTCTAACATTTGTCCAGTTTCTGCATGACATTTCGAAAGGGAATGCCAAAAATTTTTAATTAAATAATATTCTCAAGAAATGAGAGTTTCTCATTCGAATTCAGTTTCGAATCATTATAATTTTAATATAGAAATACAAACATTAACTAAATAAATTTTAATATTTCAAATACTTAGTCATATTCCAAAAAGCCTCAATCAAAAAGGATAGATTCAATATGACTTTAGTGAACCTCCTCCAAATAAACAAAACCTTCCATACTTACCTAACAATATTTGGCTTCTTACAACTGCAACATTTTCTATAGATAACCTTGAAGAGGCGCATCAATGGATCCGTGTCATCGTTGCGCATCAGTAAAGCCACTAGAATTAATGCGAAAAATATAGGCAGGGAACCTATGTAGAATAGCGGTGAGTAGGGTTTCCTCTTTAGGAAGACATCAAACAATATTGACAGGGGGATTTGCAGTGACATGGCAATTGTGCCAATCAAGGAAGAGGTTAAAAAGCAGCCCCTGTGAGGAAAAGAAAAAAAATTAGCAAAATTAATAAAAAAAAAAAAACAATTTAAAAAGTATTAATCGGCCTTTCCGACAGATGTATACCCTTAGCCAATGTTCGATTATTTAAATATATTTTTACAAGTGTTATGATTATTCAAATTGTTGACCTTCTATGGAGAAGGAATGGGCCTATATTGGCAATTTCGTATCGGACATAATATGATATAAATATTGTGACGTGCCAGGTTTGGACTACATTGGTTATTTTCTTCACTTTATAGAGATTTAGAAAACATTAAATGTACGTGATGTGCCAGATATAGTCGACCGAAGTATTCCATTTTCATACTTCATCTGATACAGATAAAAATATTGATTTTTGCAAAATTTAAAGGAAATCGAACATTTATATCCAATTTAATGCGAAATAATAAATTTCGATGAATTCCATATTCTTCTCAGATTTCCGGTTGAGAGATATAGAGTTGTTGAAGATATAGCAGGTTGTAAAGAATCACTGACTTGTTTTGCAAGTATTGAAAATTGTAACCCTTTGCGGGTAAGGTACCAGAAGGATTTCGCAGATATACATCATCTTCAAAGCAGATCTTGTGTTAGTAAAAATATTTGGATGTGTGAAATTTGAAGAGAGTTGGATGCTTATTTCGATTTTTCTGAGCGTTTTGTTTTTCAAAATCTTGAACCCTATGTGGGGAAGGTACCAGAAGAAATGGTCCGATTTCTACCATCTCTATAACAGATCTTGTGTTGATTGAAATATTGAAATGTATGGAATCTGAATGAAATCGAATGTTAATTTCCCGTTTTATGAGTATCCAAAATTTTGACCCTTTGTGGGGAAGGTACCAGAAGGGGTGGACCCATCTTTACACCAGACAATATTGTTATGTATGTAATTTGAAGAGAATCGGATCCTTATTTCGGATTTTATTATCGTTTTGGTTATTCAAAACTATGACCCTTTGTGGGGGAGGTACCAGCAGGAATGGGCCGATCTCTACCATATTTATAACAAATCTTGTTTTGATGGAAATATTGAGAGGTGCCAAGTTTGAATGAAATCAGTTGTTAATTTCGTGTTTTATGAGCTTGATGGATATTCAAAATTTTGACCCTTTGTGGAGAAGGTACCAGATGAAGTGGACCGATATCTTCCATCTTAACACTAGACCTTGGACTAATAGAAATAATGGGATGTGTGGAATTTGAAGACAATCGGACACTTACATCACATTTTATAAGAGTTGTATTTATTCAAAACACTTTGTGTAGGAGGTACTTGATGGAGTATACCGATAGCATCCATTTCCATCCATCTTAACACCAGACGTTGGGTTAATGGGAATAATGAGATGTGTAAAATGTGAAGACAATCAGAATGTGAAATGTGAAGACATCACATTTAATAAGAGTTTTAATTATTCAAAATTTTGACCCTTTGTGGGAGAGGTACTTGAAGGAGTGTACCGATATTGTCCATTTTTGCACCTGGCCTAGCACTCGTGGAAATATTAGGATTCGCAAAGTTGGAGTAAAATCGGATCTGTGCAGAAAATATATTCTTTAAAAATTTCGACCTTTTGTGGGGAGGTACTTGATGGAGTGTATCGATATTGTCCATTTTTGCACCTGTTCTAGCACTAATGCAAATATTATGATTTGCAAAGTTGGAGCAAAATCGATCAATCCTTCCTCTTTCTGTACAGAAAATATATTTTTGGAAAATTTCGACCTTATGTGGGAGAGGTCCCAGAAGGATTGGACCGATATTGTCCAATTTTTCGCCTGACCTAGCACTAATGCAAACATTAGGATTTGCAAAGTTGGAGCAAAATCGGATGTTTTTTCCTCTTTCTGTGCAAAAAATATATGTTTTTGAAAATTTCGATGATTTGTGGGAGTGGTACTACAAGGTGTGGAGCGATTTCGTCCAGGCACGTTTAGACTGTTTCTAGCCATATGACTGAATGTATAAAAAACCGCTTTTTCAGCTCGAATACAAAAAAGATGCCCTTTACCTGTCTATGAAAACATATCCATTTAGGACACCTACAAATAATTGAGATTGTGTTAACATTTCTGTTCAGAACCTCTTTGATTATGTTTTAAAAAAAAATATTCCATTACCTCATCTTTAAAAATGATCTGTTCAAATTATTGATAAGAAAGATTCTTTTCAGCTCGCCAATGGAAAGCCTTTCTTCCCGTCGTTTTTAAAAAAGACAAAAATACTTTTATCGGCTCGTCTATGGAAATGATTCTCATCGTGTGATCTTTGGATAATACTCCCTAGAGTTTCTTTCTTAAAAGTCTATTATAAGGAACCCCTTCTTGAGTTCGAACACCAAAAAGATTGCCTTAAGCTGCCTAAGAAAAATTCTAGGCTCGCATCAAAGCCTTCATACATAAGTCTTCTGAGGACTTAGTTCTAAAAAAGAACTTTCAACTTGTCTATAGAGAAAACAAGATTTATGCTCAGGACTTCTACAAGTGAAATACAAATACAAAGCTACTCTATTGCGGAAAAGATCGTACACAATATTTTAACACCTTCCTTTAAAGTATCCATTTTAGGGAGGGACATAATGATTTTTTTTTACCAATGCTTAGAACTTACCACAACCACAAAGCCTCGCTGACCACTGTACCAATTAGGCCATTTAAAAATAAAATGGCAAATTGATTTTGATTTGGTAGCTCGAATTTTTCAATTTTTGTAAAATTCAATATGAAGAATACTGGCCACATTAGCAATAGATTCCAAAGGCCAACAAATCCTAAAAAGACAATAAAACAAAAGCAGAAATTAACATTTAAATACTAGTTTTAAAAATCGTTTAACTCACCAAAAAATAATGGAATATCAATTTTCTCTTCGGTGTCGCTTTTTCTTTTGACAAACACCAAATAGGCGGCATAGAAGAATGCACTGAACAAGGCCAACAAGGCCCCACGGGAGAAGTTCGCATCGTGAATATCGGATATTGTAATTGTTACCTAAAAAAACATGATAAGTTCGGAGGACAAGTGTTTTGCTTCATTAACTTACCACACCAGCAATATTCATGGCAACTGCAACGATTTTTGTTATGGTAAATTTATCGCCCGTTGATGAGGGGAAAAATGCCGCCAATACCAAGGTGAAGAGGGAGGATGATGATGATAACATTGTAACCACTGCAGTTTCTGTCATTTCCAACGAAACTTGAAATATGTAATTGGCCAAGAACCACTAGAAAATATTTTAATATGAATTTCCTCCATTATAGAATTTTCCTTATCAATTCCTTACCAAAACACAAAACAGCAATGCCGTTTTGGCTGTCTTATGATGGGATTTTTGCCGACTGATACGCATACTAGCCGTATACGAGAGTCTTGCCATTAGAGCTTCTGTTGCCTCATGGGCTGACATCTCACGTACCTCAGCCAATTTACTAAAACGCACCGAGCGTATGCTGGAATCATCGCTTTCGGTACCGGAAATTGGACCATTTCCTATGCTAGCTGCCGAGCGTATGGGTACAAATGTGGGATCACTCTGCAATGGTGTCAATGGGAAAATAAGGGGTTAATACTTTTTCATAAAAAAGAAGATCAGTTTATGATTTTCTTACCAGTGATGGTTGGTGGGAGTAATAGTTATCATCTTCGGAATTTTGATCCATCATCTGAAATTGGAAATAAATAACATTATTTAAAATTAAACTACACATGTAAGACATCTAGTTCTACAAAAAGTCTTCTGTTTCAAAATGACCTTCAAATTGCCCTCTGCCTATTGAAGATCTTTTTGATAGCTTTTAGTATATGTTAGACGGAGTAATGGTCCTCTGTCTATTAAGGACCTTTAAAAGGAAATCTCTCTGTGGAGGACCTTTAAGGGTGTTCTGTCCAAAAATATCTGTAAAAGTTCTTCCGTATATAAAGGCCCTCGAAAGACCTTCTGTCTTTAGCAGATCTTCAACAGTTCTTGTATCTGCATAAGACTATCAAAAGTTCTCCTTTTTAGGGAATATTTTTAAAAGGTTTTCCGTTTATAGAAGACCTTCAAAAGAACTTCTGCCTCTGTCCAAAAATATCTGTAAAAGGTCTTCCGTATATAAAGGTCCCTGAAAGGCCTTCTGTCTTTAGAAGATCTTCAAAAGGTCTTGTGTCTTTTAAAGGTTTACGATTATAGAAGGCCTTCAAAAGAACTTCTGTGTCCATAAGACATTTAAAATGTCTTCCGTCTTCAGAAAATTTTCAAATATTATTTTTTTCATAGGAGAGATTCAAAAGATCTTTTGTCTATAGACACTCTTCAAGAGGTCCCATGGCCAGGGAAGGCCATTTAAAGGTATTCTATGTGTAGTAGACAAAGGTCTTCTGTGTATAGAATAAATCACCTATTTATTGAAGACCTTCAAAGGGTCTAGGCCATCAAAATGACTTCTGTCCTGGGGATGACCTTTGAAAGGTTCTGTGTTCTTAGAAGAGTCTCACAAAAGGCCTTCCATGTATAGGAGACCTTGAAAAAGAAAGAAAGACATCATAAGGTCCTTAAAAACGGTCTTACGCTCATATAAGGCTATCAAAAGTTTCCCTGTCCATAGAAAACCTTCAAAGGCTCTTGTTTCCAGAGCAGTAAAAGATCGTCTGCACATAGAAGAAACTCTTCTTTCTGTTAAAAAAAATAACTCCAAAAATCTTCTGCATATAAAGACTCAAAAGGTCTTCTTCTGCTTATTGAAGACTTTTACAAGGCTTTCTGTCTAAGAAAGAACTTCATAAGGTCTTCTTCCTATTGACCTCCTTCAAAACGTCTACTGTGCATAAAAGACCTTCAGAAGATCATCTGACCAGAGAAGACCAGAAGGTCAAAAGCTCTTCTGTTCAAAAAATAACTTCAAAGGATCTTCCATCTATCTATCGAAGACTTTGGCAAGGAACACCTCCAAAAGATCTCCTGTATATAGAATACCTTTGAAAGGCTTTCTTTGATAAAAGACCTTTGAAAGGTCATATGTCTATAGCAGATTTAAAAAAGGTCTTATGTCCATATGGCATTCAAAGACTCTTCTTTCCAGAGCAACAGAAGATCGTCTGTACATATAAGAAACTCTTCTTTCTGTTTAAAAAAAAGAACTTCAAAAGATCTTCTGCTTAAAAAAGACTCAAAATGTCTTCTTATTGCAGATGTCTACATTGCTTTCTTTCTGAGGAAAAACTTCATAAGGTCTTCTTCCTATTGAACAACTCCAAAAGATCTCCGGTCCATAGAATTGCTTTAAAGTGTCTTCTACCATATAAGACATTCAAGGGGATTTTCGTCCATAAAAGGCCATCAAAAGGCTTAAAGGTGATCCATCCATAGAAAACGTTCTGAAGGTCTTCCATGCATGCATAAAAGACTTTCAAAACGTCTACTGCACAAAGAAGAAGAAGATCTTCAGAAGTTCATCTGACCAGAGAAAATCAGAAGGTCATCTATCTATACAAGATATTTAGAAGCTCTTCTTTTCAAAAAAAAAAAAAAAAAACTTCAAAGGATATTCCATCTTTCTATCGAAGACTTTTGCAAGGCTCTTTTCTTCCCATTGAAAGCCTTTAAAAGACCCCCTGTTTATATAAGTCGTTTAAAGGGTCTTATATTCATAGATGCCCTTTCGAAATGTCCTTTCTTAAGAGGCCTTCTAATTTTTGAAGATCGTACACCTCAAGAAAGTTTCCTATCAACAAATGTTTGTTTTAGGAGATCCTCTGTTAATACAAGACCTCTAGACTGTCTTCAGGTTATTGAATTCATTCAGATGCTCATCTATCTTCCAGAAGGTGTTTTTGCCTTTTAGAGGACTTTTAAAAGGTCTCGGTCTCCTGAATATCTTTAGATAAAATTCAATCCATAAAGGACTATTAAAAAAACTTTCAAAGATTTCCCATCTGTAGATGAGCTCTGGATGAAGAAGAATAGAATATGTTCTATTTTACGAAGATTTAGAAGGTTTTTAGTCTCTAGGTGGTTGTGTCCGGTCTATACAAGAACTATACGTCTTCCACCGATAGAAGAGCTTGAGAAGGTCATTTCTTTTCAGTATCTAGGTTGATGTGTCCTGTCTATACAAGAACTGTACGTCTTCCGCCTATACAAGAGCTTGAGCAGATCAGTTTTTATGATGCTAGAGCTCCTATCTTCTCCTTCAACTCGAATGAAAATTGTCTTTCCATCTTACCGAATAGTTGCCATTTTGTCTATCACACGACTCCTTCCAGGGTGCAATCAAACCAATGATTACCAAATAAATTGTAAACATGGAGGTCTTAAAATATGTGCAGAAAAAGGGCTTATCAAAGTGAGCATCTTCGTAGAGAAACTGTAAAAGAAAAATAAATTAATTAATTAATTACGTTTACAAATTGTGTTATTGATTTCTAAATACCTTTGTTAATTCACTTGAAGTCACCCATATCACATCGACCATTATGAGTATGGTAACACCCAATATTAATTTCTGTGTGCGGGTTAGCATTTTCTTGGCGTCGTTGTTGTTGTTGTCGCCGTCTTTATCTCCTTGATTAAACAACAAGAAAATACGCAATTTCTGGTGCATAAATATCCAAATGTATGGACCTCCCTTTAATTACTTGATACTCTTGTTTAAATAATATTTGTGGGTTGTAGGCCTGGTATTGACTTCATGTTTTGTTTTGTTTTTCTTCTCTCTTTTTTTTGTGGTGTTGATGATGTCCGTTTTGTGTTTGTCGCCTTCAATGTTTGTCTTCCATGAGAATTTATGGCTTGAATGTTGGTTGCTGGCTTCTTGCCGGTTGAATGCAAATATTTACAACACCACCACCCCGTTCGTTTAACCAAATGACGTCTTTTGTTGTCGCCTTTTCTATTTGATTAGCTTGCGTGTGGGTGAGGGGGTGGGTGGCTGTTTGGTTGGTGGGGCGGGTCGGAGTGTGATACTTTATGAATTTTATCACTTTGCAAAGACGTAGCAGCACGACAATGCTTTCTTGACTAATAGCAGCAACAATGGACAATTGTCATTTGATAAGAAGAATAATATGCCAATTTGTTGTCCGCCTTCCTTCGCAAAAACCCACAAGCACACACACACGCACACCTGCGTCTCCTCCAATGGTTCCACAAATGGATGGCAATTAATATGCCATATGAATTCTAAATGAGAAATTGTAAATGGAAGAAACAAACAGAAAACGAAAGGAATTATTAGCATCTTTATGGCGTCCAAAGGGGTCAGTCAGTAGCAGCATGCCCTTAAGTTAGTTAATTTATTGATTTTTTCCTTTTTTAATTCAATTCAATTGAATCTAGGGAAATTATCGCTGATGACATTGACACAAGAAATGCATAAGTTTCATATTTTTGAATTGTGGCGCCCAATGGAAAGGGAAAAGAGAATGCAAAGATGTATGTTATTCATTTGGTTTGCAGTTAAAAGACCTTTAGGGGAGGAATGATGGAAAATTATTTTTAAATGTTAAACAATTTAGATTCAAATTGGTGTTTATAAACTTGAAATACTTTTGGCCTGCTCCAGAACTGTGGGAAGCTAAAAGTTTTTACAACGATAAACGATTTTCCCTTTATGATATCGGAAAAAATTGCAAAACTAGTCGATCATTGCAGGTTCTGGAAAAGAGCATTTATTGAAAAGCAGCATTTATTGTTTTTCAAAATCTTGAATCCTAGGTATCAGTAGGAATGAGCCGATATATCCCATTTTCACAGCAGATCTTGTGTTAGTAAAAATAATGGCATGTGTGAAATTTGTAGAGAACAGGATGTTTATTTCGAATTTATGATCGTTTTGGTTATTACAAATTTTGTCCGTTTGTGGGGGAGCTACTAGAAGGAGTGGTCCGATCTCTATAATGTTTTTAACAGATCTTGTGTTAGTGGAAATATTGAGATGTACCAAATCTAAATGGAATCGGATATTAATTTTATTTAAACTCCATGGGTATTCAAAATTTTGACCTGTTGTGGGGGAGGTACCAGAATATTTACACCACACCTTGGGTTAATAAAATTCTTGTGATGTGTTTAATTTAAAGAGAACCGGATGTTTATTTCGAATTTTATGATCGCTTTGGTTATTCAAATTTTTGACCCTTTGTGGGGGAGGTACCATAAGGAATTGTCCGATCTCTACCATCTTTAAAACAGATCTTGTGTTGATAGAAATATTGAGATACACCAACTCTGGATGAATTCGGATGTTAATTTCCCGCTCTATGAGCTACATGGATACTCAAAATTCTGACTCTTTGTGTGGGAGTTACCAGAAAGAGTGAACCGATATATTCCATTTTCACACCACACTTTGGGTTAATGAAATTATTGTAATGTGTGTAATTTGAAGACAATCGGACTCTTCCATCACATTTTATACGAGTTATAATTATTTTCAATTTTTTGTGGGAGAGGTACTTGATGAGTGGTGCCGATATAGTCCATTTTCGCACCTGACCTAGCACTGATGCAAATATTAGGATTCGCAAAGATAGAGCAAAATCGGATGATTCTTTCTCTTTCTGTGCAGTAAATTATTTTCTTAGAAAAGTTGTGGACCAATATTGCCCATCTCCGAACTCAATCTCAAGTTTGACAATAATATTGCGATGTGCCTATTTTGGATAAAATCGGATACACCCTTCGAGAGTTATAGTACACACCAGCCAGTCAGACAGACGGACGGACGGACATCGCTAAATCGACTCCAAATGTCCTGAAACGGATTTGGTCCAAAGAGACCTAGGGTCTAAAACTGTTATTGGCCTATAAAATGACATATACCCTCTCTAGCCATATGACTGAGGGTATAAAAAGTCTTGGTAGCCTATCCGAAAGGAGTTATAACAATGTTCAGAAGCTGGTAGTTATTGTCAACCAGAAGGGAACTCTAATAAAAAAATGGGCATTTTTATGATGCTTAAAGGAAATATTTTTAATAAACCGGAAAGGCCTCTTTCTGAATGACGAAAATGGAAGCCCATATGGATGAGTCATTGACTACAGAGCACTCTTAACTTCACTACAGGAAAGAAAAAAAAAACTTAACGGAAAAGGTACCTTCAGACGGCTAACAAAAAAATCTGCAGACAATAGCCACAGACGAAAAAGTTAGTGATCCGTAAGGGCGTCTAGAATAGTGTCTTTGTGGCATTCCTAAAGTGTGATTTGATGGTGTCGTCTCTATTGTCAACAAAAAAGAGGACGAAGCCTGAAAAAACAATTTAGTGCAACAAACAGAAAATTTTAAAAGACCAAAAGAGTGTCTCGCAAATCCTTTTACGAACGATAAGGGAAAGTTTTTATGGTTTTTAATTTTTAAAGAGACTATAACTCTGGAAGTATGGACTTCCCGAAGAAACAAATTTTTATCGTTGTACTCAGGACCTCAAGGATACCGATTGATCCGTGATTGGGCCTAAAATCTACTTAAGCACAGGAACCTTTGTAGGCAATCAGTAGAAATACTTTTTGAAAATCAGAGAGGACTCCACATGCCTAGAAACTTAGGACTCCTTCTATAGGGGTTTTCAACATATACTTTCTGTAGGTCTTTTAAACATAGAATACTTCTATGCATACAAGTCCTACCAATACTAAAGCTCTTCAATGTATGCTATGGACCTGCAGGTATTTATACTTAAGAGAATCCGTCCAAAGGTCTCCACTATAGAAATTACGAATATATCTCTTCTGGTTGTAAAATATCTTCATAGGCCCAGTATGCATAAAAAAACTTCTACAGACTTGCCATGTGCGGGAAAAGTTTTTAAGATCCTTTACAACTAAAATTTACAGATTTTCTGAAGAACAAATATTCGGTGAATGGAAGAGTATTCCACATTTTCCATAAGTTTCCCAAAAAAAAAAAAAAAAAAAAAAAAAAAAAAAAAAGATTTTAATGTCTTTTTGCATAACATTAAAGATTTCAGTACAGAGAAGATTCTAAATGAGACTTCCATATTAAGATTAGCTTTTATGCATCAAATTTTTAATGATCCTCTTGAGAACTTCGTTTCGACATTCTGAAAAAAAAAACTTGTTAAATCAAATAACAATGGACAGGCTTGATTTACCCCATTTAAATTGACTGACCTCTACAGACTTTAATTTCAATCGGCCGACACCAAATTAATCGATTATCTCTCATACTCATCAATTACTGAAGAAACCCATCTAAGTTTGTCCAACAATTATTATACCGCACACACTATTTACTATGCATAATAGCAACAAAAACAACAAACAATTGTTATCACTAATTGAATTGAATCGTTGAAGCCTCTATAAATTGAATTGCGTTAAAACAATCAATATTTAATAAGACCGACCGACGACTGATAATAATGATGATATGGTCTAGGAATAGAGGGTATTCCACTTCATTTTCTTTACACGTCAAAAACAGAAACCCAAATAAAAAAAATTTACTTTCATTGGTGAAAAGTTCAAAAAGTAAATTATTCACGGGAATGGTAAATTAAACAAATAGAAAGCAGGGTTGGGCATATTGCACTAAATTTTTAGTGCACTAAGAATTAAATAATTAGTGGTAGTGCAATTTTTAATTCCACTACCACTAAAGGGTTAGTGGTAGTGAAAAATAAATTGCACTACCAATAACCCTTTAGTGATATTTAAAAAAAATTGCACTACCACTAAATTTTAGTGGTAGTGAAATTTTAATAGCACTACCACTAAATTTAGTGATTTTTCAAAAAAAATTTGCACTACCACTAAATTTTAGCGAAGCCAAAAAAAGCACTATGTATATAAGTATTATACCAGCTTTAATGAAGTTTATTGAAGTGAGTAGGGAACAACAATCAACAATATATAGTACATATTCATAAAATTTGATTAATTTTCTAAATAGCACTAATTTAGTGCTATTTTTTATGAAATACCACTAATTTAGTGCAAGTTTTTTTAAATACCACTGAATTTAGTGGTAGTGCTATTGAAATTTCACTACCACTAAAATTTAGTGGTAGTGCAATTTTGTTTTAAATATCACTAACGGGTTAGTGGTAGTGCAATTTATTTTTCACTACCACTAACCCTTTAGTGGTAGTGGAATTAAAAATTGCACTACCACTAAATGAACAGTGATAGTGAAATTTTTAGTGCACTTAAAATACAGTGCATTATGCCCATCTCTGATAGAAAGGGTATGAAAAATAAAAATATTATAAAGAATTACTTGTGTTTTTCTGGTGTTATCAATTAAGGAAAATAAACATATATAAGTTGTTTGTGCAAACGAAACAATGCCTATATTATATATCTTCGTCGTAGAAACACATTATATGTATAGGTATTTTGATAAATGAGCCCCACGCGGAAAAGAATGATTGCTTAGCTAATTGTGTTCAAATAAGGAGAATTTTGAATACGATGACAATTGTTTGTCGAATGTAAGGGGATTAAGGTCGCTGTTTGTTCCATAACAAATTAGCATTTCTAATGGTTATTGCACCCATCACACACCAACAAGTGGCTGCAACACATGTGTTCACATGTTCTATAATTATAGCTTTTGAATCCTCTTTCTGTAAGGAAATTTAACATTAATTTGTTTTTATTATTCTTATATTTAAAATTTATTTTGTTATACTGCATCATTGCATTGCCTTCCTTCTTTAGGTCACACACGATTCCAGTGGCTGTGACTCTAATCTTTAATTGTATTTAATGTCTAAACAAATTCTCTGTGTATTTTATGATTGTTTTCTCGAAAAGAAAACACAAACAATCAACAACAGCATCAATGTTTACATGACTTTTCATGTGCTGTAAATAATTAGCATCTTTGTTCCAATGACATACATAAATAACTATTTTTAAAATTAGTATGAAGAACAATTAGAACGTTTTGGAGGTCCATTTTGTTTCTTAATAAAACAGTGTGTGAGGTAAATTTTAAAATAGGTCAACAATTTAGATATGAGAATAAGTAAAACAAGATGAGAAGTAGCTGTGATTTAGCATCCCATCTTTGCTTTTTGTTTAGTTTTGGCAGTAATGTTTTAAAGTTCTCACAAAAATTTTCGATCCTGTATGGGTGAGGTACTAGTGGGTAGAGACCTATATTGCCATACTTTTACTAGATCTGATTTTAACACTACTAATACAATATGTGAAGTTTGGACGAAATCGTGGACTCCGTTCACCTAATTTGATTTTACAATTTGGGGAGCGTATCGTAAGATAGAGTGGAACAATAATATATATTTTCGCGTCACTCCTTAGTCTTGGGACAGGTGGTTTTTTTCTTCCCGTCTTTTTGTCCCTTTTTCTTCTGAGCACTAGCTTTGGTTTTACCTAAAACATATAATGAATAAATTGAAAATAATAAATAAATACTACAAAAACTTTTCAATCTGCATCCCTAGCAGATGAAACGGAACAAATACGTGCATCTACCGGCAGTGGAATTTCGTATCTAGTATAAAATTAGAAACTCCAAATAATGTAAAAATTTTAAAATTGTATGGCAGGTTGGTCTTTTCACCCAGATTTTTCATTCAATTTTTTTATTCTACTTGCTTCTGAGCATGTTATATCCTTTAATATTATTTGGTTTAACCTAAAATTCACAATGAATACATTGAAACTATTAAAAAATGCCATTTAAAGCCTACCCAAACTTTTAGAACTGCCTACCTAGCAGGCGAAACGGCACAAATGCATGCATCTGTAGGAAGAGGGTTTTTGTATTTAGCATGAAATTGGTTGGAACCCCAAATATAGGAAAAATCTAAAAATTGTAGAGCAGAAAGTACTTCTCCACCAGATTTTTATGCTACTTGCTTCTGAGCAACTTACATCCCATAACTTGTTATGGCTTGGCCCGAAACTCATTGTTAAAACATTGAAAAAAAAAATTAAACTCATTTAACACCTACCCAAACTTTTCAAACTGCCTACCTAGCAGGCGAAACGGCACAAATGCATGCATCTGTAGGCAGCTGTGGTATTTTGTATCTAGCATAAGTATTTGTTGTTGTTATTTTTTGTCAACCACTGACTGACTGGCTGGCTGCATTTTCACCCAGACAACCTGTCATAACTATTTTTTTGCTCTTGATTTAATTTCCTGGCCAACAATAACTACCGCCAGGCGTATGGATGTTGATACGCCCAATCACATGATTTTACCTTTGCTTCTGGTTTAAAAATCCAAACAAATCCACAAAAGTCAATACACCGTTTTCTATTTCCAGATTATCGTAGAAATTCTCTTCCGTTTTGTTCTTAACACACGGCACGGCAAAACAAAACTCTGCAAGCAAAACACAGACAGGCAACCAGCCAACACAATATGTATTCTTTCGGTTATTTCTTTTGCAATGTTTCGTAAGCGATAGATGTTAATTTATGTAAGATTTTGAAATTTTCTTTTATAAAAATTTTTTGTATTTATTTATATAGTTTTTATGCCTTTTGTGTTGTTTCTTTTTATTTAATAATATGATGATATCTTTTGCGAGACCAATACTCAAGAAGATTTCAGATGACACTGAACATACCCACTCAGTAGAGCTGCCAAACAATCGATGACATGACTATTGATGATATCGATATTACATTTGTTGTCTCAATAGTTTTTTAATCGAATAATATCGTACCTCTTGCAAAATTAGAAATTGTAGAGCATTTATACAAGTTGTAAATTTGAATTGTGGGCTGTTTCATTAGTTATATCATGGCAGAAGAATACAGGTAGATGCATCAACGCTTGGGAGCATTGATATGTCAAAAAAATGTAAATGTTTTTTCAAATATAAGTAGATTTTTATATGTTTTCATTGTCCCAACAGCTGTGTCGACGCGTCTACCTATATTCTTCTACATGGTAGATTAATACAGGTAGAAGCATCGAAACAGTTGCTGTTACAATGAACTGTCAAACCGATTTTGAAATTGAAAATCTTGAATGAAAAATTATTGAAATTGGTACAATTTTTTGAAAAATGCATATTATAACAACCTCAGATTTGCGTCGTACAAGAAAAAATATAAAAATCTACTCGTTTTTGACAAAACATTTTAAAAAATTTGACATATCAATGTTCCGAAGCATTGACGCATCTACCTATATTCTTCTACCATGGCTACAACGAAAAACAATTGCTCTGTTCCAGAACCTGCAAGAATATAATAGTTTTGCGATATCAGAAGGGAAAAATCGGTTATCACAGAAAATAGTTTTAAATTATTGCAGTTCTGGAACAGGGCAAATGCTATTATATGCAGGATGTTCCAGAACTTCAAGAATAGTTTTTACTACGATAACCGATTTCCCTTTATAATATCGACAAAAATCGGAAAACTAGTAGATTCTATCATGGTACAATAAAAAGTTAAGGTAAACATACCAGCTGATTACAATTTTTTTCTAAGTGTGCCCGACTAATGCCAATTTTGTGTATGTATTTATTGTTTTGAAAAATATAAAAAAAATATATATATTTCCAAAATCAATTATGGGAAGAAACTTAAATTGCGGGCCGCGCATTAATGATATTAACCAGATCTACAATGGAATTGAAAGATTGAACACTTAGGATCATATTTTTGAGAGAACTTCAAGGCATTTCATTCATTTTTCGCGATATTCGACTCATTTTAAAAATGAACAAATAATATCAAATAAATAAAAACTACTTGTTGCATATAATTTTGAGTAATTCTGACAGGAAGCGGGCATAGCCTCAGGGCTGTATTTCTCTAGTTTTACGAAGCTGTTTTATCTCCTTATTGTACCATGGATTCTATCAGGTTCTAGAACACAGCAACAGTTTCAATGATTTTAAGGAAACTTTTTGTCATGGAATAAACAGCTCTTTTCATTGTTTTCATGTGATTTCTACCATGGCACAACCAGCAATGTAGTTTAACATCAAAAAAACTAGATAAAATGCAACTATGTAGTAGAATCTTATTCAAAAATAATCGATTGTTAATTATTTTTATAAAATATGCCACAAATATTATTTGAAAAACGACAACGTTGAGTACTTTAGAGAAGGGTTGCCGTATTCGATTTAGCAAATGAGTCTACCCATGGTAGAAGAATATAGGTAGACGCGTCGACACAGCTGCTGGTAGAATGAAATGTCAAACCACTTTTGGAGTTGAAAATGTTGAATGAAAAATTATTTAAATTTGTAAAAATTTTTGAAAAATGCGAATTATAATAGCCTCCGACTGACGTAGTATAAGAAAACATATAACAATCTACTTATATTTGAAAAAAACATTTGATTTTTTGACATATCGATGCGCCCGTTGATGCATCTACCTGTATTCTTCTGCCATGAGTCTACTTCTACTGTTTTGCCATGAAATTGACTATTGAAATTCCCTGGATTGTGTAAACATACTTTAAGTTGTTTTTCGTTTATTTTATCTATTGTGAATAGATTAAGATTTTTTAATGGTGTTTGTCTTCAATAACTATTTAGAGATTATTGTGAGTGTTGTCAGCAAGGGATGGGAATAACACATTTTTGTCCTGGATTTTAGTCCTGGGACGAACTATGTTGCATTAATAAGATACTCTATCAGTTGTTCGAAATTAGATTGAATGTCAAAAATTTGAATGATCTATTGAAAATAAATTTAAAAAAAAAAATTGACAATTCGTCGAGGAATCAGTTGTCATTTTTTCTGGGGAGAGCCATGGCTCAATAACAGCATTTTTAAAATCAGACAAAATTTCAGAAATTGTTTACTTTTGTCATTGCTTATTGTTTATTTTGTGTACTGTGATTACAATCACAATAATGCTGGATATCAGCTGTTTTGATGACCATAAAGTCAAAATTTGTTAATCTATCACTGTTTTATGCAAATGTTTTGATTAATGTTACAAATTTTCTTTAATACCATAAGTCACATTAAAAATGGGATACCCCAAGAAAACACTTTATATGCCTCACGTCGTTTCTTATCAACTGTCTGTTATTGGGTGGTTTATGTTTTTATCTCCGCCACCCTTACCTCTAATCAATCGTGATACGTTCCGATACTGCACCACAATTATGATAGTTGGGAATAGACAAAAATAAAAACGAAAGTCATGGTATTCGATTTAGATATGAATATAAACAATGAAATTTTGAAATGATGCAATTTTTAGAACACATTGGAAATTTTGATAAGGAGTTTTGTTTTATTTTTGGAATTCCTATCGAAATTATTTTTTATAGAAAAGATTAGGAGTAATTTTACTTATATTACATTATATTATATTATATTACTTTCAATTTTAAAAGGGACCTATTGTAGGCCTTTTTATGAAATTGTTTTGGGGGATTCCCTGTTTGAAAAGCCGTGTGAAGAAACTGCAACCAACTTCAGACTATTGTCATTTCCAAGCCAATCGTCTGACAACTGTTAAAATTATTCCAGTGACAGATCATTATGTTGTTTACAAGCGCACTAAAGCGTTTTGGTGAGAATTTTCCAGAAAAAAAGTTATTCGTGATGGAATTCAAGCTTGATAGGGTGATTCCTTTATATTTGGCTGGAAAACCACAAGTGGCTATCGTTAGACCACTCCAGCATTTAAATGTGAATAAATCTTTTGTGTGTCGTACCGTCGCTCGTTACCGTGATACTGGTGACGACGTAATGGAAGTGGACGGAAGAAAACAGCAACATCAGCAGATATGATACGACAAATAAAGCAGCGACTTGATCAAAACCCGCGTCGCAGTGGCCGAAAAATGGCTCGTGAGCTGAACATATCGCAAAATATCCCTTTCGGCAAATATTGAAAAATGAGCTCGGGGTAAAGCCATTGAAATTTCAAAAAGTGCAAGAACTTACACTGCAACAGAAAGAAAACAGACTCAAAAGAGCTAAAGACTGGCTTCGCTAGGCCGAAAGTGGTGAACTGTCGAATTTGGTTTTCACTCTCTCTCTCTCTCTCTCTGATGAGAAAACATTAGTTGCCCAGCAGTTTGTAAACAAACAAAATGATCGTATCTACTTGCCAAAGAGGTCAGCTGAAAATGTGCACCTTCGGTTGGCCATCAGAACTCAAGCGCCGGCCATAGTGATGGTGTGGGCCGCCATAACAGCTGATGGTCGCTTTCCGCTCGTATTAATCGCCCGTGGCATCAAAATAAATACCGAATATTATGGTGAAAATATTCTGGAGGGTGTATTAAAGCCTTGGGAGCACACAAACATTTTGGCCGCAGACCTTGGACATTCCAACAGGACTCAGCAACATCGCACTTAGCACGTGCCACCCAAGAATGGTTGCAAAATGAGGTTCCTCGCTTCATTTCAGCGCACAATGGTTACCAAAATCTCCGGATACCAATCCCTTGGACTATTGTGTCTGGAGAATTTTGGAAAGCAAGGTTGGCGCTAAAAAATACCGAAATGTCGATCACCTCAAGCAAGCGTTTCGCCGGGAATGGGCCAAAATACCGCAGAGCAACATTCGAGCAGCGTGTGCAGCGGTTTCATTGGCCATTTGAAGGCCATAATTCATGCCTAAGGTGACCAATTCGAACAAATTTAAACTTATTCTAAAATTTGATGCTATTTCCGACATTTTTGGCTTTAATTCAATAAAATTTAAAAAAAAAAGAAAAAATTTTGGCATTTGACTTTGTTTCCGAATTTTTTTATCTCACCCTGTATCTGCTTATATCCCCTCAAAACAAGCACCTTATTTTGTTCAGCACAGCCATGGAATAATTAATTACTTTATTTAATTTCATAATTTCTAAATATCCGTAAATTTAAATTTCAACGGAATATTGGGAATATTAATTTGCAATGATTTAAAGGCATTCTCGGTGGGATGGTTAAACTCAACGTGGAAGTTACGAATCAGCCGGGCAATACCCAATTCAATTTCCATTTCCACAATACGGCGCCCAATACAGCTGCGTGGCCCAAAACCGAATGGCAAGAAAACAAAAGGACTACTCGGTTTTAGGGACGATTCGGTGGCAGTGCCTTTTTCTTGCCTTAGCCAACGTTCGGGCAGAAACTCATTGGCCCTGGGATAGTAACGTTCATCGTGATTCAATGAAGCGGAGACCATAAATACCTGCTGGCCGGCTGGTACCCGATAACCGCTGAGGACAACATCTTTTTGATTTACCCTTACATTGCCCACGGCCAGGGGATAGATACGCTGGGACTCTTTGATGCAGGCCCTTAAATAGGGCATGTTGCGAAAGGCTTCCTCAGTGAATTCGGAATTTTTTTCGGGGAGAATTTTTAAAATTTCTTCGCGTAGCTTGGCCTGTTTTTCGGGATTTTTGCTCAGGCACAACAGTAAGGCCACAAAGGTGGTGGAGGTCTGGAAAAAATCGATTTTTTTTCAATAAAATTATTCTCAAGAAAGAAAAACTCCACAACCTACCGTATCCACGCCCGCCAGCAGCATATCCATGGCCATGACCTGAGCTATTTTCTTATCCACTTTGAGCAGTTTTTCCAACACGCTTTGTTCACTTTCCGCTTTTGGGGGTACACCAGCCTTCTCCTCGGCCTCCATGCGCTCAATGGCCTCTTGAATATAACTGGCAATTGTGTCCTGCATTGTGTCCATGGCCTTTATTAGTTTCTTATATGTTGGTGTCTCAATATATTTCCATATGGAAGGTTGAAATTCGATTTGGAAACCGAGCGTAAAGAACTCAGTCAGAGAATCGAAAATTTTACGAGCCTTTGGATCGTTGCGATTGTCGGAGAGTAAGCCCAATTGTTTGTCCAGTGCCACAATAGATACCGACTCCAGGGTCCAACGATTAATTTCCTCCTCAAAGGAGGCGGGCACTTCCAACGTTTGAGGGTCACGTATGGCGCGAATTCTGCAAGGGAAACAAAATTTACGGAAGTTTGAGGTGATGATCATTGAAAAATATTTTTTTTTAAATATGACTTGGAAGTTTGGTAGTTCTGGAAAAATGTTTAAAAAAAACATGTTCGAGGGTTTAATAGCCTCAGAAAAATATTAATCTGAAAATAATTTAAAAAAAATTAAAATCCCTTTTTTGGAGGTTTGATAGTCTTTAAAGTCTTTAATGGCCTGTTCGAAGGTCTGATGATCTTGCTCTGTTTGAAGGTTTGATCATATTGGGAAAAATATTCTTGGAGGTTTGATGTTATGCTTAAAAGTTTGATGTTCTGAAAAAATATTTTTTGGAGGTTTGGTACTTTTCTTGGAGGTTTGATGGTCCCTGGAAAAATATTCTTGGAGGTTTGATATTCTTTGTTTGAAGTTTGATGGTGCTAGAAAAAAAATTTCTTAAAAGTTTGATGTGGGGTCTAAAAGTTTGATAGTCCTGGACATTTTTTTGGAGGTTTGATGGTCTGCTCGAATCTTTGATGGTCCAAAAAATATTTTTGATAGCTTAGTGTTCTGCTAGAAGGTTTGATAATATTGGAAAAATATTTTTAGAGGTTTGATGTTCTGTTTGAAGGTTTGATGGTTCTAGAAAAAGTATTCTTGGAGGTTTGATGTCCAGCTTAAAAGTTTGATGGTCTTGGAAAAATATTTAAGGAGGTTCTGTCTTCTGTTTGAAGGTTTGATGGTGGTAGAATTTTTTTTGATGATATTCAAAACATATCCCTGTACATTTGATGGTCTGTTCGAATGTTTGATGGTCCTGGAAAAATATTTTTAGAGGTTTGATGTTCCGTTTGAAGATTTGATGGTCCTAAAAAAGGTATTTTTGGAGGTTTGCTGTTGTGTTTAAAAGTTTGATGGTCCAGGAAAAATATTTTTGGAGGTTTGGTGTTTTGTTTGAAGGTTTGATGGTGCTAAAAAATCTTAAAAGTTTGATGTTCCTTGAACATTGTTTTGGAGGTTTGATGGTCCTAGAAAAGTTGTTTTTGGCAGTTTAGTGTTCCGTTTGAAGGTTCGATGATATTGGAAAAAATATTATTGGAGGTTTGGAGGTCTGCTCGAAGGTTTGATGGCCCTGGAAAGAATATTCTTAAAGGTTAGTTGGTCTGTTTGATGGTTTGATGTTCTTGGAAAAAATATTCTTGGAGGTGTGCTAGTCTGTTTGAAGGTTTGATGGCCCTGGAAAGAATATTCTTAGAGGTTTGGTGGTCTGTTTGAAGGTTTGATGATCCTGAAAAGTCTTTTTTTTTGGAGGTTTGACATTCTATTTGAAGGTTCAATGGTATTGGAAAAAATATTCTTGGAGACTTGATGTTCTGTTTGAAGGTTTGATGACCCTGAAAAAACATTCTCGGAAGTTTGATGTTCTGTTTAAAGGTTTTATGGTCCTGGAAAAATATTTTATGAGGTTTGAGGGTCCTAGAAAAAGTATTCTAGGAGGTTTGATGGTCTCTTCGAAGTTTTGATGATCCCAAAAAAAATATTTTTTGGATGTTTGATGTTATGTTTGAAGGTTTGATGGCTCTGAAAAAATATTCTCGGAAGTTTGATATTCTGTTTAACATTTTTTGCGGGTTTGGTATGCTGTTTGAAAGTTTGATGGTTCTGGAAAAAATATTTTTGGAGGTTTGAAGGTCCTAGAAAAAGAATATTCTTGGAGGTTTAATGGTCTCTTCGAAGGTTTGATGATCTGGAAAATATATTCTCGGATGTTTGATGTTATGTTTGAAGGTTTGATGGTCTTGGAAAAAATATTCTTGAAGGTTTGATGGTCTTGGAAAAATATACTCGGAGGTTTGATGATGTATTTAAAGGTTTGATGGTTTTCGAAAAGAAGTTTATAGAACATTTGATTGTTTTAGTTCAGAGATTTTAAGAAGAAAATATTTTTCAAAAATAATTCGCGTTCGAAGGCTTGATAACCATCGATAAAATGGTTCGATTTATTATTTTTCTAACAATATTGAGAGGTTTGATTCGAAAGATGTTCTTCCAAATATCCAGATTTTATTGACCCAATTAAACAGCATTTACTTACTCAACCTACCTTTCCATTAGCTCCTTGTTGACCTTTGACATTTTATGCATGTAGAGGCGTACATTTTTCGGTTGCATCAGAACTGGATTGACGGCCGAGCGGAAGTTACCCCATTTTTCACCGGCCCTGCAAAAACCCAAAACATAATTTTTAGTAGCTGATTTCTTCACTCATTCCTCTCCAAATTACGTCGACAGAAGTCCCTCGTTGCCTTGATAGAAATCCTTCTTCACGACACTACGATAATGGGCCAATACCTCCATTCCCGGCCGTACCGGGCAAATGCCTTCGTTGCGCAAGACCATTTCAAAATCCTGTGGATTATGAGTGACCACAAATGATTTTTTACCCAACATACCGCGCAGCAGGCTAATGTCACCCAAATCTTTTTTCAACGCCAACATCAATTGGGTGGCATCGAGTTTGGCATATTTGCCACCGGGTAAGAATTTCATCAGCATTGATAGGCGACTTTCGCTGGGTATTGCCTCGAAGGGCTTGGCTTGGGCCCACTCTTTTTGGAAGTCATACGAAGTATCTTCGTTCGGGGACTTGGAAGACAACAAACGGAGCTGTAGAAGTAGAGCAATTTGGGAGAAATTAGTTCGTTTATTATTATTTTGTTGTTGTTGCTGCTTACTTGTTGTTTAATTATAGCGGTTTGTTTATAAATGTTCTCACGATGAGTTAACACATTTCTATGATATTTTAACATGTTTATTGTTGTTGTTATTCATACAAATCGGTTCGGCTAACTTGTTTTGTTTGGCCAATTACGTCCGTTGCTGCTGTCTCTGCGATCGATCCACAGTGTTTGGTGGTCCGGCTAATACTGACCCAAACACAGCATAGAGTTGTTTATTCTCTGTCAATAGATAAGAAATTCCCTCATAAATATGTAAGAGAGAGAGAGAGAGAGAGAGGGGAAATTATTCCCACATTTTCTCAATCATTTTTTTAATAGCACATTGGATCGATAATAGAAATCGATGACTAATAACAACAGATATCGATGGTTGATTTTTATATTTTCTTTTCAAGGACCAACTTAAATAAAAGAGGACTAACAATTTAATTAGCGTCGATTTTTAAAGAATATTTTTTCAAGGATCAATCCAAAGGTGTTTTATAAAAATTTTATCAAGGATAAACAAACCTTTTAACTTGGATTTTTAGAGAACATTTTTGAAGGACTAACAGACCACGTAACGTGGAAATATTTTTTCAAGGACTTTCAGAACTCCAAACGTGGGTTTTTTAAAAATACTTTTCAAAGACTTTAAGACCTTCAAACGTGGAGTTTTATAGAGTAATTTTTCTAAGGCTTTCAGACCTTCAAACGTGGATTTTTAAAGAAAACTTTTTCTAGCACTTTCATTCATTTAAAAGTGTATTTTTTTTAAAAATATTTTTTGGAAGGATTTTAGATCTTCAAATGTGGATTTTTTAAGAATGATTTTTCAAGAACCAACAGACCTTCAAACATGGATTTTTTTACAAATATTTTTAGAAGGACTTTTAGACCTTCAAACGTGGATTTTTAAAGAAAACTTTTTCTAGCACTTTCATTCATTTAAAAGTGTATTTTTTTAAAAATATTTTTTGGAAGGATTTTAGATCTTCAAATGTGGATTTTTTAAGAATGATTTTTCAAGAACCAACAGACCTTCAAACATGGATTTTTTTACAAATATTTTTAGAAGGACTTTTAGACCTTCAAACGTGGATTTTTAAAGAATATTTTTAGAAGGACTTTTAGACCTTCAAACGTGGATTTTTAAAGAATATTTTTAGAAGGACTTTTAGACCTTCAAACGTGGATTTTTAACGAATATTTTTTTAAGGATTTTTAGACCTCCAGACTTGGATTTTTAAAGATTATTTTTTCAAGAACCAACAGACCTTCAAATGTGGATTTTTTAAAAATATTTTTTAAAGTGTCAACAGACCTTCAAACGTGGATTTTTAAAGAATATTTTTTCAAGGACCAACAGACCTTCAAATGTGGATTTTTAAAGGACCAACAGACCTTCAAACGTAGATTTTTTAAAGAATATTTTTTCAAGGACCAACAGACCTTCAAACGTGGATTTTTAAAGAATATTTTTTCAAGGACCAACAGACCTTCAAATGTGGATTTTTAAAGGACCAACAGACCTTCAAACGTAGATTTTTTAAAGAATATTTTTTCAAGGACCAACAGAACTTTAAACGTGGATTTTTAAAGAATATTTTTTCAAGTGTCAACAGACCTTCAAACGTGGATTTTTAAAGAATATTTTTAGGAGGACTTTTAGACCTTCAAACGTGGATTTTTAAAGAATATTTTTTCAAGGACCAACAGACCTTCAAACGTGGATTTTTTTATAAATATTTTTTCGAGGACTTTTAGACCTTCAATCGTGGATTTATTAAAGAAAATTTTTAAAAGGGCTTTTAGACCTTCAAACGTGGATTTTTTAAAGAATGTTTTTTCAAGGACCAACAGACCTTCAAACGTGGATTTTTAAAAATATTTTTAAAAGGACTTTTAGACCTTCAAACGCGGATTTTTTAAAGAATATTTTTTCAAGGATCAACAGACCTTCAAACGTGAATTTTTTACAAAATATTTTTAGAAGGACTTTCAAAATTTCAAACCTGGATAAAAAAAAAAATCAAGGACTTTCAGAACTTCAACCCTGGATTAAAAAAAATTTTGAAGGACTTTCAGAACTTCAACCCTGGATTAAAGAAAATTTTGAAGGACTTTCAGAACTTCAAACCTGGATTAAAAAAAAAAAATTTGAAGGACTTTCAGAACTTCAACCCTGGATAAAAAAAAAATTGAAGGACTTTCAGAACTTCAAACCTGGATTAAAAAAAAAAATTCAAGGACTTTCAGAACTTAAAACGTGGATTTTTTTAAATTATTTTTTAAAGGACCTGTAAACGTGGATTTTTTAAAAATTATTTTTTCAAGGACCTCTAAACGTGGAATGGTTTAAAATTATTTATTCAAGGACCTCTAAACGTGGATTGTTTAAAATTATTTTTTCAAGGATCTCTAAACGCGGATTGTTTAAAATTATTTTTTTCAAGGACCTCTAAACGTGGATTGTTTAAAATTATTTTTTCAAGGACCTCTAAACGCGGATTGTTTAAAATTATTTTTTCAAGGACCTCTAAACGTGGATTGTTTAAAAATATTTTTTCAAGGACTTAGATTTTTTAAAATTATTTTTTAAGGACTTTTAGATTTTTTAAAATTATTTTCTCAAGGACTTTCAGATTTTTTAAAATTATCTTTTAAGGATTTTTAGATTTTTTAAAATTATTTTCTCAAGGACTTTAAGATTTTTTTTAATTATTGTTTTCAAGGACTTTTCTCTTTTTTAAGCTTAATTTATAATTGACATCCAAACGTGGATTTTTTAATAGTACCTTTTAAAAGACCATCAAACGTGTAGTTTTAAAATGATCTTGCCAAGGACAAAAAAATGCATTTTTAAATTATTTTTCAAGGTCACAAAGGCCTCTAAACACTTTTTGTTTAAAATATTTTTGCTACAACTTTCAGACTTGCAAAACCTGGCCAAAATGTTTAATCCAATCAATATTCTTTACAAATATCAAAGCTGATGATGTTTCCTAACTTTGCCACAACCGCTATGAAAAGTTCAATTTCCTTCAAACCATGACCTACATATAACCACACACACTCACTGATAGACAATTTTTAATTTTTTTTTTTTTTTTGAGGGAACTTAATCTCTCTCAACTTTATTTGTGTTAACAGTTTTAATAGAATTTTGTTCAACAACAAAAAAATATATAATAAACTCAATTTAATAGTTTCAAAATCAGTTTAGAATCAATATGCCAGCAAGTCAGTTCAGTTCAGTTAAATTCAGCTCAGCTCTGGTATTCATTGGCATCAAGGGAGTTCCAAATGTTAATGGATTCAATCACGAACACTGGATGCCGCAAATTCACAAAAACAACCCAGTCTATCGTTTTGAACATCGCACCACCAACCCGTATCTGTGAAGGGAGAGAAAATGGAAATTTTATTGAATGTGTTTTGCAAATGTAATGCAGTTAAGGTGAGGATGAGTGGGTTGGGAGAGAGTAATGGCATTGGGAACAATTTAATATTAAAAAGAACATGTCAACATTAGAGTGAATGATGAGAAAAATTGATTTTAAGCCCTTGATTCAAGAAGAGTAATTCTGAAGTTTTGAAAAAAATGTCAGAAATTTTTCTCCCCAGATTTTTTCCTGTACTAAAATATTTAAACATTATTTTAGTACAGAAAAAAAATCGTCTAAAAATGTTTAAAAAAATATGTCGAGTCCTCAAAAATTCTGATTGTTTAACTTAGAAAAACAAAATTCGAGGTTAGAGGGTCCTTAAAAAATCCACAGTAGCAGGCTTAAATGGTCCTTGAAAAATTCTCCGTTTGGAGGTTAAATGTTCTATAAGAAAATCATTTTTTTTCGGAGTTTGATGAACGTTGAACAATACTCTCAAAATAATTGAGTTTAGAGTTTATGGGTCGCGCAAAATATTTTTTTAAGAACCTATAAACGTGGATTTTTTAAAAATATTTTTTTAAGAACCTATAAACGTGGATTTTTTAAAAATATTTTTTTAAGAACCTATAAACGTGTATTTTTTAAAAATATTTTTTTAAGAACCTATAAACGTGTATTTTTTAAAAATATTTTTAAGGACCTATAAACGTGGATTTTTTAAAAATATTTTTAAGGACCTATAAACGTGGATTTTTTAAAAATATTTTTAAGGATCTATAAACGTGGATTTTTTAAAAATATTTTTAAGGACCTATAAACGTGGATTTTTTAAAAATATTTTTAAGGATCTATAAACGTGGATTTTTTAAAAATATTTTTAAGGATCTATAAACGTGGATTTTTTAAAAATATTTTTTTAAGGACCTATAAACGTGGATTTTTTAAAAATATTTTTTAAGGACCTATAAACGTGGATTTTTTAAAAATATTTTTTAAGGACCTATAAACGTGGATTTTTTTAAAATATTTTTTTAAGGACCTATAAACGTGGATTTTTTTAAAAAATATTTTTTTTAAGGACCTATAAACGTGGATTTTTTAAAAATATTTTTTAAGGACCTATAAACGTGGATTTTTTAAAAATATTTTTAAGGACCTATAAACGTGGATTTTTTAAAAATATTTTTAAGGACCTATAAACGTGGATTTTTTAAAAATATTTTTAAGGATCTATAAACGTGGATTTTTTAAAAATATTTTTAAGGACCTATAAACGTGGATTTTTTAAAAATATTTTTAAGGATCTATAAACGTGGATTTTTTAAAAATATTTTTAAGGATCTATAAACATGGATTTTTTAAAAATATTTTTTTAAGGACCTATAAACGTGGATTTTTTAAAAATATTTTTTATGGACCTATATACGTGGATTTTTTAAAAATATTTTTTAAGGACCTAAAACGTGGATTTTTTAAAAATATGTTTTAAGGACCTATAAACGTGGATTTTTTAAAAATATTTTTTAAGGACCTAAAACGTGGATTTTTTAAAAATATGTTTTAAGGACCTATAAACGTGGATTTTTTAAAAATATTTTTAAGGACCTATAAACGTGGATTTTTTAAAAATATTTTTAAGGACCTATAAACGTGGATTTTTTAAAAATATTTTTAAGGATCTATAAACGTGGATTTTTTAAAAATATTTTTAAGGATCTATAAACGTGGATTTTTTAAAAATATTTTTTTAAGGACCTATAAACGTGGATTTTTTAAAAATATTTTTAAAGACCTATAAACGTGGATTTTTTAAAAATATTTTTTAAGGACCTATAAACGTGGATTTTTTTAAAATATTTTTTAAGGACCTATAAACGTGGATTTTTTAAAAATATTTTTTAAGGACCTATAAACGTGGATTTTTTTAAAATATTTTTTTAAGGACCTATAAACGTGGATTTTTTAAAAATATTTTTTTTAAGGACCTATAAACGTGGATTTTTTAAAAATATTTTTAAGGACCTATAAACGTGGATTTTTTAAAAATATTTTTAAGGACCTATAAACGTGGATTTTTTAAAAATATTTTTAAGGATCTATAAACGTGGATTTTTTAAAAATATTTTTAAGGACCTATAAACGTGGATTTTTTAAAAATATTTTTAAGGATCTATAAACGTGGATTTTTTAAAAATATTTTTAAGGATCTATAAACGTGGATTTTTTAAAAATATTTTTTTAAGGACCTATAAACGTGGATTTTTTAAAAATATTTTTTAAGGACCTATAAACGTGGATTTTTTAAAAATATTTTTAAGGACCTATAAACGTGGATTTTTTAAAAATATTTTTAAGGACCTATAAACGTGGATTTTTTAAAAATATTTTTAAGGACCTATAAACGTGGATTTTTTTTAAATATTTTTAAGGACCTATTAACGTGGATTTTTTAAAAATATTTTTAAGGACCTATAAACGTGCATTTGTAAAAATGTTTTTTAAGGATCTATAAACGTGGATTTTTAAAAAAAATATTTTTTAAGGATCTATAAACGTGCATTTGTAACAATATTTTTTAAGGACCTATAAACGTGCATTTGTAACAATATTTTTTAAGGACCTATAAACGTGGATTTTTTAAAAATATTTTTAAGGATCTATAAACGTGGATTTTTTAAAAATATTTTTAAGGATCTATAAACGTGGATTTTAAAAAAAATATTTTTTAAGGATCTATAAACGTGGATTTTAAAAAAAATATTTTTTAAGGATCTATAAACGTGGATTTTAAAAAAAATATTTTTTAAGGATCTATAAACGTGGATTTTAAAAAAAATATTTTTTAAGGATCTATAAACGTGGATTTTAAAAAAAATATTTTTTAAGGATCTATAAACGTGGATTTTAAAAAAAATATTTTTTAAGGATCTATAAACGTGGATTTTAAAAAAAAATTTTTTTATGGATCTATAAACGTGGATTTTAAAAAAAAATTTTTTTATGGATCTATAAACGTGGATTTTAAAAAAAATATTTTTTTAAGGACCTGTAAACGTGGATTTTTTAAAAATATTTTTTTAAGGACCTATAAACGTGGATTTTTTAAAAATATTTTTTTAAGGACCTATAAACGTGGATTTTTTAAAAATATTTTTTTAAGGACCTATAAACGTGGATTTTTTAAAAATATTTTTTAAGGACCTGTGGATTTTTTTAATTATTTTTTCAAGGACCTGCAAACGTGGATTTTTTTAAAAATTATATTTCCAAGGACCTGTAAACTTGGATTTTTTAAATTTTATTTTTTCAGGAACCTGTAAACGTGCATTTTTTTTAAATTATTTTTTCAAGGACCTGTAAACGTGGCTTTTTTAAAATTTATTTTTTTCAGGTACCTGTAAACGTGCATTTTTTTAAAATTATTTTTTCAAGGACCTGTAAACGTGGCTTTTTTAAAATTTATTTTTTTCAGGTACCTGTAAACGTGCATTTTTTTTAAATTATTTTTTCAAGGACCTGTAAAAGGGGATTTTTAAAAAATTATTTGTTCAAGGACTTTTAAGGACTGTGGTTAAGGTATGTAGGTGGTTTTGGAAATGTGTACTATAATTTTTCGAAAAGTACTAAATAGTGCTATATTATGGTATTGGGTAAAGGTCAATTTTGATATTGAGGTCTTTGATATTCAATTGGCATTGAGAGAATGGAATGGTGAGCTGTCGAATTTGGTTTTCTCCGATGAGAAAACATTCGTTGTCAGCCGTTTGTAAACAAAAAAAACTGATAGTGTTTACTTGCCAAAGAAGTCAGCTGAAAATGTGCACTTTGGTTGGCCACCAGAACTCAAGCGCCGGTCATGGTGTTGGTGTGGGCCTGCATAACAGCCGATGGTCGCTCTCCGCTCGTATTAATCGACCGTGGCATTAGAATAAATGTCGAATATTATCGTGAAAATATTCTGGAGGGTGTTACAGGACAGGAGCACGCGTCACCCATAAATGGTTACAAAATGACGTTCCTCTCTTAATTTCCAGCGCACAATGGCCACCAAAATCTCCGGATACCAATCCCTTGGACTATTGTGTCTGGAGTATTTTGGAAAGCAAGTGCCAAATGTAATCAATTCGAACAAATCTAAATTTATTCTAAAATTTGATGCTATTTCCGACATTTTTTGTTTTCAATAAAATTAAAAAAAATGTAAAAATTATGGCGCTTGACTTTGTTGCAGTTTTTCTTTTTATCTCATCCTGTATAAGACCATGAAATTAAAAAAAATGTAAAAATTATGGCGCTTGACTTTGTTGCAGTTTTTTTTATCTCATCCTGTATAAGACCATGAAATTCTGAAATTTTAATACGATGTCTGAAATTTCGATTGAAAAATATTTGTGGATCGGAACAAAATGTGCATTTTGTGTACTAATAGGGCCTAACATGAACATTTAGAACAAATGTTATTTTTGAGGTGGACTTTTCGCCGACGAAGCAGAGGGTCAGTTAGGCCTAAAAAAATTTTCCAAAAAATTCCACTTTCATGAAAAAACTGTCTTTAAAAGGAGCATGGTCTTAAAAATTCCTTAAATAGCTTCCAAAAGGATTCCAAATTTAATATTCCATTGGTATTTGAAAAAATATTCCTAAAAATTCTACGTATGGAGATCTGCTAGTCCTGAAAAAAATATTTTTTTAAAAAATCAAAAAAAAAAAAAAAACTTGGAAATACCTCGGTTGGTCCCACCAAAAATATTCCTTATAAATCCCTTAAATATCGATGGCCCTTAAAAAATATTTTTAAAAATCCACGTTTGATAGTTCTATGGTCCATCAATTTTTTTTGTTCCAAATATGACATTCTATTGGTGGTTTCTAAAAAAATATTTTTGGGGATCTGTTAGTCCTTGGAAAATTTTTCATATTTGAAAAATTATTCTTGAAAGTTCTGTTGGTCCTCTAAAATATTTTCAAAGTCCAGGTCAAGAGGTCTATTGATCCCAGGAAAAATGTTCATGAATTTATTTATGATACAACTGGGCGTATAATTAACAAAAGCGATCATACGCACCATGGAACCCCTTTTTCATTCAATTTGAGAAATTTTTTTTTTAATTATTTCCTAGGAAGTAAGTTCGTAAAAAGGGCATGAATTTAATTATGGTACATCTGGGCGTATAACTAACAACAGCTATTATACGCACCATGGTACCCCTTTTTCTTTCAATTTGAAATTTTTTTTCTGAAATTATATTTCCTAGGACGTAAGTTCTTAAAAAGAACATGAATTTAATAATGGTGCATCTAGGCGTATAACTATGGAACCCCTATTTTTTGAAATATGAAATATTTTCTCTTAAATTTTATTTCTCAGGAGATTTTTCGTATTATTGTTTATTTCCCTCACTCCACCCTAATATTCCTTTTGAAAAATTCGAACACGATACAAAAACTTCAACAAAAATAAATCATATAATTAAAAATACAAACTTGCTATGGACATACCACCGCCAGATATCCAAGTGGTGAACTCATTTCATTCTTCGTTGTTGACCACAGCATTCACTTCCAATGGCATTTCGTTCGATTGCATTTGGTTTTCCGCCTGGTAGTTGTAATCGTGATAGTCTCTGATATCTTCGCCTGCAGGATGGTGCTGTAGTTGTGAATCATTTGCATAATTGTGCAGGGTATTATCTTGGGGTCGGCGGGCTGGTGCAGGATAATCTCCCTCGATTTTCGGATTGAATGGTGCACCAGAAGCACCACCAGCAGCAACCACATCAGTCTCAGAACTTAAAATATGACTGCTGACCGAGGATGAAGAGATTTTCAGCAAGGATTTCAGTTTGGTGCCATGGTATTTGTACTGTGGAGGAGAAGAGAAGAAGAAAAATAAGGAAAAAATGAAACGGAAATGGAGTACAAGTCATATTAAAAATCCATACTCAATGGACACTGGACATCATGTCATGCTGTAAAAATACTCGGAAGAAATCAAATACCAGAAACTATGCTTTATTTTTCCTTCTGCTTTTTTTTGATTTCAGGCCAAGCATGGATTATTTGTCATTGACATGATATTAAGGGGAAATAATATAGATCTTCATTTTGGCAAAGCATTCGCAGGGACATGTTACAGGCAATGCTGGATAAATGCAGTTCAAATAAGTGAAACGAATACAAAAATGCCAGAGAATATCAATTTAGCGACTGAATAACTAGCGGCTGAAAATTTTTGTTGTTAAGTAAATTTTTCGGATCATTATATACTCAGCCATTTGGCTATCATTTGATACGGCCAAAACGTTCCTCATCAAAATAACGGTCCTAGGTCTCTTTGGACCAAATCCCTTTCAGGACGTTTGGAGTCGAGTCAGCAAAGTTCGTCCGTCCGTCCGTCTGTCTGTCTAACAGGAGCGTACTATAACTTTCGAAGGGTGTCTCCGATTTGATTCAAACTTGGTATATCGTAATATTATTATCAAATTTAGAACGAGTCTGGAGATCAGAAATATCGGTCCACTCCTTCTGGTACCTCACACAAAAAAGTTCGAAATTTTCAAAGAAAATAATTTACTGCACAGAAGGAGAAAGGATAATCTGATTTTGCTCAAACTTTGCAAATCCTAATATTTGCATAAGTGCTAGGTCAGGTGTGAAATTTGGATATATCGGTCCACTCCATCTAGTACCTCCCACACAAAGGGTCAACATTTTAAATAATTATAACCCTTATAAAATGTGATGTAAAAGTCCGATTGTCTCCAAATTACACATTTCACAATATTTTTATTAACCTAAGGTCGGGGGTGAAGATGGGAAATATCGGTCCACTCCTTCTGGTACCTCCCCCACAAAGGGTCAAAATTTTGAATAACCAAAACGATAATAAAATCCGAAATAAGCATGCGGCTCTCTTCATATTTCATACATCCCATTATTTCTACCAACACCAGATTTGCTGTGAAGATGGGAAATATCGGTCCACTTCTTCTAATATATCCTCCACAAAGGGTCAAAATTTTGAATATCCATGAAGCTCATTAAACGCGAAATTAACATCCGATTTCATTCCGACTTGGCAAATTCCAATATTTCTATAGACACAAGATCTGTTAAAAATGGTAGAGATACTCCTGGTACCTCTGTCACAAAGGGTCAAAGTTTTAAAAAACCAAAACGATTATAAAATCCGAAATAAGCATTCGGTTCTCTTCATATGTCACACATCTAATTATTTCTACCAACACCAGCTTTGCTGTGAAGATGAGATATATCGGTCCACTCCTTCTGGTACCGCCCTTACAAGGGGTCCATATTTTGAATATCCATGAAGCTCATAAAAAGCGAAATTAATATCCGATTCCATTCAAGACTTGGTAAATCTCAAAATTTCCATCAACACAAGATCTGTTATAAAGCTGGTGGGATCAGACTACTCCTTCGGGTACCTCCCCCACAAAGGGTCAAAGTTTTGAATAACCAAAACGATAATAAAATCCGAAATAAGCATCCGGCTCTTTTCATATTTCATACATCCCATTATTTCTACCAACACAAGCTTTGTTGTAAAGATGAAATATATCGGACCACTCCTTCTGGTACCTCCCCCACAAAGGGTCAACATTTTGAATACCCATGAAGCTCATAAAGAGCGAAATTCACATCCGATTCCATTCAGACTTGGTAAATCTTAATATTTCTACCAACCCAAGATCTGTTATAAAAATTGTAGAGATCGGTCCTTTCCTTCTGGTACCTCCCCCACAAAGGGTCAAAGTTTTGAATAACCAAAACGATCTCTTCATATGTCACACATCTAATTATTTCTACTAACACAAGATCTGCTGTGAAGATGGGATATAACGGTCCACTCCTTCCGGTACCTCCCCCACAAAGGGTGAAAATTTTGAATATCCATGAAGCTCATAAAATACGAAATTAACATCCGATTCTATTCAAGACTTGGTAAATCTCAAAATTTCCATCAACACAAGATCTGTTATAAAGATGCTGGAGATCGGACCTTTTCTTCTGGTACCTCTCTCACATAGAGTTCCAGATTTTGAAAAAAAAAACGCTGATATGTTCGGTTTTTTACTTCGGTCAACTATAGCTGGTACCTCATGCGCAATTGAGCATTTTCTAAAAATTATCACATATCTCTTATAAAGGAAGGGATATAGTCCAAACCTGGAACGTCGCAATATTTATAAAATATTTATTTAGGTCCCATACGAAATGGACAACATTGGTCCATTCCTTCAGAACCCACTCCATGGAGTGGGTTCTGAAGGAATGGAATTTTTTGCAATTTTTTGGAATTTTTGCAATTTTATTCAAATTCATATTTTTAAAATTTTCAATATTTTTTTTTTTTGCTAAAAAAATTATTCAAATTAATTTTTTTGGTTTCTCAAATGTTCAATTGTTTACCCTTTCAAATAAATTCTAATCAGCTCTATTTCTCCAAAAGTTCTTAAAATAAATTTAAAAAATAATTTGGTTCAACGGGCGTATTGCTAAGGACATAAGTCATACGCACTGGTGTTCGCCATCATAAAACACCAATGTTGCAAAAAACTGAGTCAAATTCTCGTTTTTTTTCCTAAAAAAAAAAAAAAACATGCAATATTTATATTATGCGTAGAACGTTCATGCAAAAAGTTCCTCGAATTTTTATAAGGATATGTTGTTGGTTTCTCAAATTTAGATATGCGACATTTAACTAGGCATGCTTAGTTATACCTAATCCAATTTTTAAATTTTCTTTGGCTAATTATCTGCCAAATAAATTCTAATTAGCTTGAGCTCTCCAAGAGATTCTTTAAATTTAAGAAATAAATTAAGTTTATTTCTCTTTGGTCTTATGGTGCGTATAACTAACGACATGAGTCATACGCACAGGAGTTCTCAACTATAAGAGACCAAAGGAAGAGTTGCAAGAATTTTGGGGTTTGACTTCATATCTCTTTCTCAATAAAAAAACAATAACCATTTCTGTAAAATTTTGCAATTCTTGGGAAATGAATTCTCAATTGTCGGCTGTCGGCTAAACCGACTGACATTTACAGGGTGAGCCATGTTGATAGTGTGGGCCGCCATAACAGCCGATGGTCGCTCTCTGCTCGCATTAATCGACTGTGGCATCAGAATAAAAGCCGAATATTATCGCGAAAATATTCTGGAGGGTGTAATAAAGCCTAGAGCAAGCAGACATTTTGGTTGCAGACCTTGGACATTCTAACAGGACTCAGCACCATCGCACTCAGCACGCACCACCCAAGAATGGTTAAAAAAAATGAGGTTCCTCGCTTCATTTCCAACACACAATGACCACCAAAATCTCCGGATACCAATCCGTTGGACTATTGTGTCTGGAGTATTTTGGAAAGCAAGGTTGGCAAAAAATACCAATGTGTCGATCACCTCAAGCAAGCGCTTCGTCGGGATTAGGTCAAAATACCGCAGAGCAACATTCGGGCAGCGTGTGACGGTTTCCATAATTCGTTCCACAGGTGCCAATTCGAATAAATCTAAACATATTCTAAGATGTGATGCTATTTCCGATTTTTTTTGCTTTCATTCAACAACATTAAAAAAAAAAAAAATAAAAAATTATGGCGTTTGTCTTTGTTGCAGTTTTTTATCTCACCTTGTAGATGGATTGTACAGTCAGGAACAAAAAAAAAAAAAAAAAAACAAAAGGTCAACATTTCTATTTTTTTTTGTCCCATAACTCCCAGTTGAAAAATGCATAACTTATTAAATTGCCATGCCATTTGCAAAATTTTCAATTAAGTGGCCTGAACTGTCCCTTCCTCTCTCATATTCTCTAAATAAAGACAAAAATTCGATACTTTTTATGATTTTCTAGTCTGTATTTGACTTCCTTTCCGGAGAATTCACTTTTGATTTATCATCAATAGAATTTCGTAAAAGAGTTGAGAGAATTGTGTTCTTTGATTTGTTTCATCTCCTGGAATTTCATAAAAATGACTAAATTGCTATGAGTATTTTTCTCTCTCTCTCCTCTGGGTATCTCCGTCGGCTTCTATCAACAAAATAGCTTTGCCTGTTGGGTAATTTACCAATGTGAATATTCTTTGTTTTTGCCAAAAACGACCCCGAAGGTTTTAAATTATTCTCCTCCCTAGGTTACCGGAAACTTCAACGGAAATTACATACAATGGAAAATTGCCAATATAGGGCACACACAAACATATTTTTCCGACTGAATTGAGAATTCATTTCCCAAGAATTGCAAAATGTTGCAGAAATGGTTATTGTGTTTTTATTGAGAAAGAGATATGAAGTCGAATCCCAAAATTCTTGCAACTCTTTCTTTGGTCTCTTATAGTGGAGAACCCCTGTGCGTATGACTAATGTCGTTAGTTATACGCACCACAAGACCAAAGAGGAATAAACTTAATTTGTTTAATAAATTCTAAGAATTTTTGGAAAAAAAGAAGAGGCTAATTAGAATTTATTTGGAAGAGAATTAGCTAAAGAACATTTAAAAATTTGGCAACATGTTAGTGGTACGCCAAATTAAATGCCACATATCTAAATTTGAGAAACCAACAACATGTTTTTATATAATTTCGAGGAACTTTATTTGGCAAGAAATTTATGAAAAAAATTATTGAAACAATATGAATATCTTGTGCAAGATTTAATTAATTATTGCATAATTGGATTTTTTTATTGAAGAAATGAAACTTAACTCTCTTTTGTGTCTTATGATGGAAAACATTAGTGCGTATGACTGATGTCCTTAGTTATACGCACCCCCAAAAAACCAGATTATTTATATTTAATGACTTTTAAGAACTCCTGGAGAAATGGAGCTAATTAGGATTTATT